CTCTGCTCTCTTCGGCCCCCCCCCCCTCGCCCTGATGGAGAGTAGGCGTCGCTGGCGGTGGCGCGGAGGTAATGGATCGCCCTCGGGAATTCCGTTCGCCTTATTGGGGTCCATCCTAGGGCGTTCTTGGATCTGGGAGTGGGATGCCCAGGAGGCTCCATGAGGGGCCCAAGAAAGAGGGCGCCCAGGAGAGTAAGACAATGACGATGACCCCGCGTGAGAAATATGCGGGCAATCTTTCGAGCCTTCTCGGGGCTCCCCTGAGGCTCCACAAGAACTTCGAAGGCGCTCCAGGGGCCTCCTGAAAGTCCGAAACACCTGGGGCTGTTAGATGACCTTAATAGGGTTAGAAAAAGGTAGCGCAGGCGGCTCCCTGGTGCATGGTGCATGCGGTATGCGCGCGTGTGCGTGCGCGCGCTCGCCTGCGTGATTGCGCGCGCTGGTGAGCCCGCGCTCCCATAGGGCCTGCCCCGGCCTTGACAGGCAGAAGCGGTCCCAGTACACTATTCCAGAACTGGGTCTTCAGTGGTCGGGCATGACAGAACACGAGCGCGACGCATGGGCCGTCACAGATACGAGGCAGGCTCGCCCAGTCATGACGAGGCCCCAGCAGATGCCAGAGGAGGCCACGCCGTTCAAGATAGGAACGGACCGGTTGCCAGTTTCTTTGGATTTTCTTGCTGCGAATGTCTGCGATCAAGTAAGAGCATTGAGCGACGCATGGAAGGACGACAATGAACGTTTGGTGGTCTCAGGCCCTGGGATGGATGAGATCAATCAGGATGCGAAGTCTTGCTGTCGCTTGCTTGGACTAGGGAGATGCCAGGGGGATTTGCAGGGCTGGCAGTCAGAGTGTCGTAAGCGGCATCAGTGGCAGCAGACCAAGTTAGTTTATTATGAGGCGCCCAACTTTCACTTGGACTTCGAACCGTCGATCCTGTTGCCTCTCTTCCGATTTCGACCCGAAGGCGATGGGGACCCATTAGTTGTCCTCAGGGCTTCCAGGCTCAAGAGTCCCGTGATTGGTTTATACTTGAAGTGCGACGTAGTCGGGGATGGGCCCGTTGTCCCTGGATGCATAATCAAGCCGCAACTTGTGAGAGGACGTGAGGGCTTTTGGAAGCCGGCCGATTTGACCTGGCACATGATTAATGCAGCCCCGTCCTTCCGGGTGGACAATGCATCCTATAAGTTCAAGTCTTTGCACGAGTTGGAAGTCATAAGTATAAGTGATATTACAGACGAGTTGCACCTCATCAAAGCCAGAGAACGAAGCGATCCAACTGTGGTCGGCGTCACGAGCGTCGTCAAGGCCATGTTCCAGGAGGGCCCCCCCCCAGAAAAGAAGCAGAAGAAGAGGAAGGTCGCGCCGAGCGATGTCCCCGACCACCCTGGAGGAGGCATTGCGGGGAGCGGGCCTGGAGGCGCAGACGCCGCGCCTGGCGGCGACGACGCGGGCGGAGGGGGTGAGGAGGAGGACCCCCATGAGTCCGATGAGGAACGGTCCGAGGACGACGGCGACGGCGTCCCCCCGGGGCCTCCACCGCCTCCTCCGCCGCTACCTCTGCCGCCGCCGCCTGAGCCGCCGCCCCCGGCGCCTTTTGTCGAAGAGGGCGACGAGGGGTCCGCCATGGACCAGGATGAGTGGAGGGAGATCAGCGGGGACTCTGCTCGCATGTGGTTTGACGATGCAACTAAGCAAGTAATGGACACCGTAACGAAGTTGCCTGTCGGCAGTCTGTCCATCATGAGAAAAAATGAGCCTGGCGAGGCGCTCTCAGTGTACTGTCGCATCCATGGGTGCAAGTGCCCACCTGCGCCAGTGGCAAGGGCGCCTACGACCGATGCCGTGCTGGCTTGGTTTCTGGCAGGGCTGGAGCTGCCGAAGGGGGCACCAGGTAGGGCGGCGCACACAGCGATGTATAGGGACCTGCTGAATAGCCTTAAGAAGTAAGGGAAACATCGCGGTGGAGTCTGCATGCGCATGTGACATGTAAGGCGTGCATGGTGACGATGGCGATGACAGTGACGACGACGATCGTGAATCATGAATCATGAATCATGAATCATATTGACTAATGAAGATGTGTATTCGATACCTCCTGATATTAGGGCGTGCGGAGGTTGCTGAAATTGAGCGAAACTCGGCGAAACCATGGGCGGACGACCCTGAAGGGCATTCCATGGGCGGAAGCTGGCTGAAGCAGGACAACAACGAATCATGATAAACGATGCCGACGGTTGATGACGATGATGCTGATCATGATGTTCATGAGTTCATGAGTCATGTTGCTGATGCTTGCCGACAGTGATGATGCGATTATGTCCACGACGACGATGATGATGAGGAGAAGGATGAGCTGTTCGTGGCATGAGCTTGTAGTGGTAGGGAGCGGCTGATCGAAGCATCCATATTCCCCCGCCCGCCGACTGAGGATGATTTCATGGGTTCTTGTCGATGTCACCGTTGCCGTCGTCACCTCCTGCTCCATTTCCCTCCCCCTTTCTGCCCCCGCCTCTTTGCCACTTGCCCATCCTTTTCCCTCGCCTGACCCCAGGATGCATTTGGTCCTTGGTCATGGCCAGGCTTGAGCATGCCCTCTTCGTAAGCATCTTTCGCGCGGACTCACCGCGCGCCGTTTCCCGAAGGCCCGGGCGTAGTGATACGGAGACAGGGAGGTCGTTGCGAATTGGCGATCGTTTCTGCACATGGCTTAGGCTTTCGAGTTCCCCTGGCCACCCGGAGCCGAGCGAGTTGAGCATGTGCGGCACGTTCTCGCAGGCCTTCGGGCCCGAGCCCCGAGTCGGTCGAGGGTCGTTCTTGTGTGGCATCAGCGGACGTTGCCGTTGCCGACCGCCCTCTCTGGCGTCGGCGCGAAGACCTACTCGGGCATAAGTGCCCCTGGCCTCCCTAGAGCATGGCAACCGCATCCGATGAGCAGGTGGACACTGCGAGATCATTTGGCCCATGCCCACGCGTTATTCACAACGCCTCCTCTTGCTTGACTGCTATGGCCTCGGTGGCCTTGGAAGCGTTCGGCGTCTTCTCGGGTGTCCTCTGCCTTCCTTCCCCTTGTCACCAGTCGGCCAGGGCCAAGTCTGGCAGGTGGGCGGCATGCGAATGTTTGGATCGAGGGGTGCGTCCCCACCTCGCCGCGGGCAGCCCCGCGCCGTTCGAGGGCCAAGAGGCGAGCCGCACCTGTGCGCCAGGTGCCCCGCCCCCCCGCTCGCGGCGTCAGCCACGCGCGCGCCGCCTCTTGAGTTGCCCCCCATCGGCCTCGGCCTTGCCTGTCCAAGAGTGTCTCCCCATCGGCCTCAGTCTTGCCCCCCATCGGCCTCTTGAGTTGTCCCCCATCGGCCTCGGCCTCAGCCCTCGCGGGTAGCACGCGGGAGTACTGAGTACAAGATGGCGTTGCGCGCTGAGGAGCCGCCTCCATATTGACATAAGTGCGCATGCTGTGGCATGGCAAGATAGGCGCATCATAAAAGGAGGTTAAATGCCCCTTTGCACGCGCATCGTGTTACATGGTTCATACATTATTTGGATGTATGCATACACACATATGTGTTTATATGTACATAATTTTACATATATTCATATTTACGTGCGTTAATTATTAATATAATGAGTCGTCATCATGATTTAAGTTTTTTATTTTGTTTCAGCGTCTTGCAGCAGCGGCGATCCCTGCTAATAAATGCGCGTACCTCCTTAAATGAGTCAGATCCCTGCTATTAAATGGTTCGTACACACTAAATTGGGTGATAAATGCAATGACGATGTTAGAACATTAATTCAAAAACATCAAAAACATAAAATAATAAATCAATAAATTAATTCATATCGTTCATGGTTTAATTACAAATAATGCATCACACATGTGCAATACGTTGTATTCGTATGTAATATACGGCTCGAGGGCGCCTCCCCGCGTGCGCTAAGTACCCCCCCCCCCCCCCCCGGAGACACTGTTCTCTCCCGGGGGCAGTTTTCGAGGCTGGGCAACTACTTGCGACGACTCGTCCAAGCGACGCCGCGGACGAGCTCGAGATGTTAGGCGACCTTGGCGGAGATGATGACGCGCAGAGCGCTGTAGAATCGGATCTGGCGAGCTTGACTGTCATAGACGAGGCGGGGCAGAGGGGGTTGGGCAGCGAAGGGGGGCTCAATGGGCTCTCATCTCGCGGGCGGCCCCCTTCCGCCTTCCGCCGCAATGGCCCCCGCTCTCCACCCCCTTCCCTCCTTCTCCTTCTCCCTCCCTCACCTCCGCTGTATCCCTTCCCACTATCTGCCCCGAGCTCCGCGCATGCCGCCAGCCAGGGCGGCGCGAGGCAGGCAATGGCGGCAAGTCGAGGTCGCGCTCCCCCCCCCGCCGCAGAGGCGTACATCTCGGACCTGATGATCATCTGCGTCAAAACATGCTCCTCTTGCAAGTGCATGTCCAACTCGCTCAGCCCGTTTACGAAGGGGCCGTTTCAACGCTCCAAGAAGCACCCGTGCCGGCGGGGGGCGGGGCGGGGAGGGCGGTGGCAGAGGGCAATTGGGGTCGCGAGATGAAGCAAGAAGTCTTTGGGGGCCTGGAGGAGTGCAGGGCCTGGGGGCCCCTGGATCATTGGGGTCTGGGCCTGGGCTCCCCCTGCCGCCCCCTTCCTCAGGGTGTGCCACACCCTTGCCGGCGCCCTTCTTGCGAGTGTTGGCGGTGGGAGGCCCTGGGCCTCTGGCTCGTGTGAGAGGCCTCGCGGCCTCCGCTGCAAGGTGTGCGTCCTCGCATTTGCATTTGGCGGCTTTGCGGAGGAGCTCCCGCCAGCATCAACGGATATTAGGGGCCAGTGGAGGCGGCTAGGGAGCGGGGCAGGCAGAGGACTCGGAGGATGGGGAAGGGGAGTCCGAGGAGAAGCATAGGGGAAGGCATAGGGGATCGGGGACGAGTAGGACGTGAGGGATCCGGGATCAGTGTGGAGCCTCCGCTGTCCGAGAGGAGTTCAAGTCGCTTAATGACATGGTGGACTCGATGTCCACGAAGCCCAAGGAGCACCCGACGCTCGTTTCGGAGTTCGTCGAGTCGACGGTCACCATCATTTCGCTGGTCAATAGTGGCGAGTTGAACATGAGGGTCGGCAAGAGGGTGAGGATGACCGTCGAGTCGATTATCCAGAGCAGGAGGAAGCAGGTCATCAAACTCTATGAACAGGAGGGCATCCTCGCTAAAATGAAATTCAAAGCCATACCGCTTCAGAAGTACTTGAAGGACAACCCCGAGGCCGACGTGAAGGAAGACGGGCTCATCATCAGGCAGTGCAAGCTGCCCGGCTTTACCTCATTGGTGGAGTGCGTATTGCTGAGGAAAGGTGACGAAGGTGGGCTGGGGGAACTTGTCGTCGGCAGTCGTTTCGACGGGCCGCGCAATTAAGAGTTTCGAGGGTTGGGTAGGGGGCGTGCTCGGGTATAAACGCATTGTTTGTTTATTTCAGGGCAGGTTATGGTTGAGTTTGGCAGCGCATGTAGGTTTTCAGATTCTCGGATACGATTGATTGAAACCGCGCGGCTCTTGACTCGTCTTGCCTTGGAGGTGTCTTTGACTTGGAGCTGACCTCTGCCCAGCTCATGTCGAAGGAAGAGACCCTCGACGACGGGTCGGCGCTGATCCGCCAAGACCAGATCGACAAGCGCTTCAGGAACCTCGGCGAGAAGGTCATGCAGCCGTTGATGAAGGCTGCAGAGAAGGCCACGCAGTACAAGCCAGCTCGGGAAGCCATAGCGCCCCCCCCTCCTCCTGAGCCCGCTGCTGGGGATGCAGCCGCGGGGGAGGATGCTGGGATGGAAGTCGTGGAGTCCAGCGACGGCGACGACGGGGAGGAGCCAGACGTCCTGTCCGGGTCGCTGCTGGGGAACTTGTTCGGCGACTCGTCCTCCTCCAGGGCGGCGGCCAAGACGAAGAGCACGGGAGCGGCTTCCTCGTCGGGACCGCATCCTTCCTCTGGCCGCGCCGCTGTGCGGCCAGCAGGCCCGACGCCATCGAAGACGCCACCGAGCGTGCAACAAAGGGGCACCAAGCGCGTTGCAGAGACTCCGACTCCAGAGTCAGGGAAGAAAGCCTCCCTTGAGGATTCCGAGGGCGAGGCCGGGAGGAGGCCGCGCGGCCGACCCCCGAAAGCTATCAACCCAGAAGAGTTGCTGCAAGAGGAGGGCCACTACGAGAACATGGAAAAGTTCGACACTCATGTCAGCGCTATTATGGACATCTGCGGCGGGAGCCAGGTCATGTTCGCGGTGCCCGACGAGATGGCGAAATGCATCACCAAGGCCAAAGCTGTCGTCAACAACCTTGACAAATGCGCCAATCATGCGAACGCCATCGAGAAGAAGCACGGAAAGAAGCACAGTGCCCCAGAAGAGATGAAGGAACTCTTGGCTTCATCAAAGAGAAAGACAAGGAACATGACAAACTTCATTCAGGAGTTCACGAAAAAGAAGAGAGACTTCGAGAAGCTTCGCGAGTTGCTGTCGGAGTTGAACACGGACAAAGTGTCGGTCCCTCCTTTGTTCAAGGTCGTCGTGTTCGTCAATTGTGTCTGCAATTTCGGGGTCTTCAAGCAGTTCGATCAGCTTCGAGAGGTCATGGGCTCTTTCACTCTTGATGGCGATGACTTCCTTCTGCATAGGAAGCCAGCGGAAAGGGGTGAGATTATCTCGATGGTTATCGAGACGACCATGCCACGGATTTTCCAAGCGCTGCCTTCTGCCGCATCTTTTGAGCAGGGCCTCGATGTGCTAAATGCAATTCATGGGTACCTCGAGGTGGTGAGGAAACTCGAACCACTCAACATAGAGTTGGAAGAGCACCTGAAGTACTTGGCTGACGCTACGGGGCAAGGAGCGGATCCTGATGACCTCGTGATGAGCGATGCGATCGACGCGCTAGACGCCGTAGCTGCGGACGACGACTCAGAGAGCGCACTGAAGGCCAGCTTAGTCCTGAAGCAGTGGACGTCCTTGAAGGAACACATGGAGACGATCAAAGAGGCGAGAAGGAAGGCAGTTGGACCAGTGCAGCTCCTCCCGAAGGTGGTCTCGATGGCCCGCGACTTCATGCAGAGTCCGCCGGTGCGCAGGAATCCCGACGTCTTCGGTCAGAAAATCACGTCCGCCCTCGCGCGTGCCCTGGACCGCTTGGCCCAGGACGACTTCAACTCCGAGGCTTCGAAGGCTCTCGCGATGTTCGCCCGCAAGTGCACGGAGATCATCAATGACGTGACGAAGAGCATTGCCGCGGACTGGGCCGCGAAGAAGCTGGATATCTTCATCTCTGCGAAGGACAAGGCTGGCGGCGAGGACTGGCGCAACGAAGTGACGGCCCTCGACAAGCTGATGAGGCCGCTGTACCTGGGCTTCGTCAAATTCGAGGGTCTAGGCCTCCTCCGCCCCGTCCACCTTCAGAAGCTGTCGAAGAAAGCCGCAGAGGAGGTCAATGAATGTAAGAAGGTCGTCATTGGGAGGATGAGGCTTATTACAACGATGGTCGAGATCTGCAACACGGACTTCGATGTCATGGAAGCGCTCCACAAGATGGAGGACGCCGACCCTGACCTCGCGCCTCTGCTCATCGAGAAGTTTCACGCTGCAGAGCTCGCGATGCGGAACCTGCCAGAGCCCGCAGAGATCCCAGAGGAGTTCGTCAAGAAGCAGAAAGCGTTCGAACTTGCTTTCGGTCCCCGGCGCATTGCGATGACCCAGCTGGATGACCTGGGCGAGAAGCTCGGAGAAGCGTTCAAGACCATGCTGAATGTCGGGCCCGAGGAGGATGACCACGACGTGAAGACGGCATCCAACACCGCCAACGGTCTCCACAACAAGATTGTGAAGCTCATGAGGTTTCGGGGTTGGGAAAGCCCGACTACGGTGCATTTGGTCCTCGCGATGTCTTCGATTGAGCGCTCGTCGCGATTCGAGCGGAGATGTCATTGGGGGGGAGGGCGGCGGCAGGGAGGAGGATGATGATGATGATGAGGAGGAGGATGCGTTAGAATGTGCGCGACTGGGGAGCACAGCAGAATTTGTAAGACCTCTTCTGTTAAAGTGTGTTTGGCTCAGCTAAATCCTCCTCTGGATTTGCAGGAGGAGGCCGACGGGGAGGAGGAGGAGGAGGATGAGGAGGAGGAGGGGGTGGTCGGGCGGGTCGCTGGGCGGAGGTGGATGATTGGGTGAATGAGGATAGGGAGGAAATGAATCGCGTTGCCTGATAGGTGGTCGCACGACATTCCCAAGTGGGAGAGAACCATGGAGCTCCTCCTTGCTACGACGACGTGTGTCCGGGCGGCTACCTTCTTCAAGATGCTGCGCGATGACCCCGACTCCGCCAAGGCGGACCAGAAGGTTGGGGACATCCGTGCAGCGCTCGGCCTCCTGACTGAAAAGGCGGAGCAGTGTATCGACATCTGGGGCACCTACGCGGATGATGAAGCTCTTACCTGCTTTGCTGGGTGGGTGGCAAATTTCCACAACGCTCTGAAGGCGCAAACCGACATCGTCGTCGAGATGGCCAAGACGGAGTCGGATGAGCTTGCCGAGGAGCTTAAGGACGGCCTGGCCTCATTCACCATAGAGTCCACCCAGAAGGAGGCGAACAGTGCCAAGGATCTGGTGGAAACTATTTTCAAGAAGCTTAAGAAGCTCGAGGACAAGTTGAACCTCCTCGACGTCTCAAAGGATTCCGTCCCCGGCTTCGCCCGCTGCACTTCTGAGAAGGATCGGGCCCAGGATATCACCATCGGCTGGGCCGCCACCACGATCTTGGCGTTCAAGTCCGTTCGGGAGAAGGCGGCAGGTCTTCAGAGCCGCATGCAGCTCGGGAAGATCTATCGCGAGAACTTGAAGGACGCGACGAAGGAGCGGTTGGATAAGATGAAGGTGAATGATGAGATGCTCGCAGCCATCCGCGAGATTCTGAACATCAAGGTGAGCGGCGGCGAAGTCGAGGAGGTACAGGGGGAGGGGGAGAAGCCGTCCAAGCGCGCGAAGGTCGCCGGCGGCAAGGGCGGCGGCAAGGGCGGCAGGGGCGGCGGCAAGGGCGGCAGGGGCGCTAAAGCCGCTTAGCCACCCCGACGCACGTCCACCTGAGCCTGAGCCTGGCGGTCTTGGGCGCCAACTTGACGGGCGATGCGGCGATCGACGTCTTCGATTGGGCTTAGGCTGTCTTTGGGTTTGTGATTCTAGGGAGTTTGAGTCAGGGTTCGGCTTCTCCCTAGCGGTCGCTCATGGGAAATGACAGCCTGCCCCTGGGGCATGCAAGTTTGCCGCGGCCATTGGCTTCGATGCTATGGCCCGAAGCCTCCAGAGGAAGCGGGGAGGAGGGGTACAAGCGAGGGGGAGGCAGGGCGATGGCGGGGGGAGGGCGGCAGGGAAGACAAGCATAGAGAGCGGGGGGGTGTCCAGAGGCTCTTCTAGTGGGGGGGCGCTCGGCGAGTCGCGGGCAGCTGGGCGCGGGCGCTCGTGGCTCGCTTCTTCTGCTCAATGGCCGAGCGGTCGCGCGCTCCGGGGGCGCCCAGTCGGGCGCTTTCCCAGAGCGCGGGAGCAAGTACGTTTTCTGGGGTGCCCAGCTCCGCGCGTCACAGCGGAAGTAAAAGGAAGATCGGGTCATGAGAATATCGCACATCGGGGCAAGCTGGGATCCCCTTTGATATGTCGCGGGGGCTGGGCGCCGTTGATCGCCCGCGCGACGCAGCAGCGATTGGGAGAAGTGGACGCGCACTGGAAAACATCGGGGAGGAGGAGGTGGAGAAGGGGGGAAGAGCAGAGGGGCAACGAGATCGCCTCCCATTTCGCCAAACCTTTGCCAGTTTACCCACGGGGTCGGGGCCTAATCTCGGCACCTCGGCAGCTTAGTTTCGGCCGCTTGATCAGTGGGCGGGCCGAGGCCACCTCCTTCTCCTCTTCATCGCCCTCCTCTTCCTCTTCCTCCTGCTCTTCCTCCTCCCCCTCCCCCTCTGCCTTCCCGCACGCGGGCCCTCGGACTACGGGCCCTTGGTCCACGGCGGGAGGCGCGAACGACCCTTATATATCCTTCCCTCCGCTGCCTCTCCTCCTCACCCCACCCATCCCCCCTCCCCTGCGCCGCAGGTGCTTGCCATGGTGAAGAAGCGGTCCGCTGCCGCTTGCAGAGATGGCGATGGAGGCCAGCGAGGCCCCCTTTCTTGTCAATAGGAGCAAAAGGAGGAGAGGGAGTAGTAGCAGGAGGTCAGGGATGAGGAGAGGATGAGGAGGGATGAGGAGGAGGGGGAGTAGTAGCAGGAGGAGGGAGAGTAGTACCATGGTATCAAATCAAACATCAAAACAACAATGATCAAGAATACATGGGTAGCTACCATGCCTGAGCCGCTCCTGGGTCCTCATGGGATGTCTTCGGGTGCTGTTGGGGGGCCTCGGGGATACAGCGTCTTGGAAGGCCCGTCCTAAGCTGGGCCAACTAGTCTGTTGCGTTTTGCCCAGCTGGAGTTGCTCTCGGCACGTCTGAACGGCATTGCCTCCTCTTGCATCTGGTGACCTTTGTTGCATCTGGTGACCTTCGTTGCAAATGACGTAGCCCGAGCGAGAGCTTCGCCTCGGGGCCCGCCCAGCCGCGCAAGCGCATTGCCCGTTGCCTGCGCGACCGAGGCAAAGCCAGCAAGCCCGACAAGACCGCCCAGGAGGCGATCGCCGACTGGGACGGGGCAGGCAAGACGTCCACGCCTCCTCGGCAGCGGCGCCGCACGGCTCGGGAGGTCGATGACGACGACTCGGATCATCGGCCACTTCAGGACGCGTCGCCCCCGGCGGGCCCTGGCGGCGCGCCCGCTAGCAAAAGGATGCAGCCGGGCCAGGCGGCCCGAAAGGAAGTGAAGGCGAAGGCGGCCAAACTTCCGCCATGCCCGATGATCCGTGCACTCACGAACATGCTTCACGCTCTCCCGCCAGAGGACTTGGCTAAATTGATCGAGCACGTCCCGAAGGCTTTTCCGTCAGGGATCCGAGTGGCCAGCCTTTTCGCTGGCAGCGAGATCCAGTTGTGCCCCAGCCCCGCCCTGACCCCTTCTCCATCTTGGCCCTCGTCCGCCCGCGCATCGCCGCCTTCCTCGCGGTCGGAAGCCCTGGGCAGGGCGGGCTTGCGGGCGGGCTAGCGGGGGCCAAGCTTGACGAGGGGAAATGGGTGGGCTGCCCGCCCAGGTACGTCGGCAAGAGCTTGATGTCTCTGGTGGCGCCGGACACGACCTACTACAGCTGGTTGACGGCGGAGGTGAACAAGCGGAAGCGCTTGTGGGGCGTGTGCTTGCAGAAGCACATCGGCGACGAGGTCGAGGTTGCGGGTTCTTGCCACTTCGAGAACGTCCATGACATGACGAAGCTCGCGGCAACTTGCGAGGCCCACGGCACATGCTCTCCCAAAGCAAACGCCCAGGAGTGTGAGCTCGTCATCGCAGGGTGGTCCTGCAAAACGTTCAGCAACTTGAAGAATGGCCCGAAACCGAAAGACATCCTGAAGGAGGGTAGAGGGAGTAGTGGCGACACGTTCGCGGGGCTCGTGGAATGCCTGAAGTCGTTCAAGAAGTTGCGTATCTTCATCGGCGAGAACTTGGACGACGTCGCCAAGGTCGATTCGGCGGATAAGGAGCAGCTGCTGGACGCGCTCTTCGAGGCCGGGTGGACGGCCGAGGTGCACTCTCTGAAGGCATCCGAATTTGGCGCTCGCACTTCCAGGAGCCGGGCGTGGGTCATCGCGGTGAACCACGAGAGGCTCGACATGGAGCCAGGTGCTGCCAAAGAGTTGGTGGATCGGATGTTCACCACGGTCTTCAAGATGACTATCCCCATGCCCGACATCGGCGAGTTCATCTTGGATGACGACAGCGACACGGTGCAGAACTATTTCAAGCAGCGCGAGGCAGACAGGACTGGGAGCAAGAGTGATACTTCGTGGCAGGCAGATTTTGAGCGTCTTCTCGTGAGCGAGGGCGCGATGCTGTCTCGCCTCCGCGTGCCGTCCGAAGTCGAGAGCTCGAAGTGGTGGCCGCTTCTCTGCTACCGCGACAAATGCAACATCAAGTACCAGATCTTCAAGCACCCAGACTGCATGGGGAGTGACGTCAACCAAAAGGCCGATCGGAACGTATGCATCAGCCCCGAGTGCGTGGTCCCTACCGTGACGCCGAACATGAGGATGTTCGTGTTCCACAGCCTGTGCGACAAGGTGGTGGAGCCCCGCTTCCTGACTGGGACGGAGGAGCTGATGTTCCACGGCTTACCGCTGTCGGCGATCCTGGGCACGATCGCTCTAGGGACGGGGGGTGGTGCGGACGTTTGTCTTCCTGCATCCATCCCAGCCTGTCTCTTAGCTCTCTCTGTCTATCTGCCCCGGCCCTCTCTGTATCCAGCTCTCTTCCTGCATCAGTCCCAGCTTGTCTATCTGCCCGTCTGTCTGGCCGCGGCCCGGAGGCTGAAAGACTCAGGAGTCGGGGGGGGGATGGGGTGCGCAAGAGGGGAGGCACGCGGGAGCAAGTAGCAGACTTGCTGATTCCCATCGGCCTGGCCCCAACCGAACCAGAGGAGGTGGATGGAGGAGGATGAAGAGGAGGGAGGAGGAGGAGGAGGAGGAGGAGGAGGAGGAGGAGGAGGAGGAGGAGATTAGCGTGAGGTTTGTCTCGTGGCAGTTGTCGGCAGCGGCTGGAATTCTCATCGGCCAGCGGCTCACTCGGCGAGCGCCCGTGTTCCCTACCCCCCGCTCCGCCTTGTCCATCCCATTCGTCTCGCAATTTACTCCAGCTATCGTTGTTCCTTGCCGTCTTTCACGCTCCGCCCTCCATCCAATCCCTCGCTCACTCACTCATTCCTCCCTCTCATTCGCCCGCCTCCCTTCCCCCGCTCGCCCTCCCTCCCTCCCTCCCCACTCCCTCTCTCTCTCTCTATCTCCCTCTCTCTCTCTCTCGCTCTCTCTCCCCTCCTCACTCTCTCTCATTCCCTCTCCCTCTCCCTCTCCCCCTCCCTCTCTCCCTCCCTCCCTCTCTCTCTCTCTCTCTCTCTCTCTCTCTCTCTCTCTCTCTCTCTCTCTCTCTCTCTCTCTCCCCGCCGCGGGCGCGGAGGGGGAACGACGCCATCTCCGAGAACTTGCTTGCGGACATGGCCGGCAACAGCTTCGTTGGCGGGGAGGGTGCAGCCTCCTACTGCCCTGAAACTAGCGTGGTTCTGTTCACTTCCCCATCCTCCTCTTCCCCCTCCGCTGCCTGAGCTCGCCTTGTCTGCACTCTCCCCTTCCCCCTCCCAGCCTCGTCGCGCGCGCCCTCAATCGCGATGGGCGGGCAGGTTTCGCGTACGCGGCCATCCTCATCGCCGTGCTGCTGCACGCGCCCCTGGGCGTGGAGGACAACGACGCCGCCGATGGTTTGGAGGCAGGCGCGAACGTGGCTGGCATGGTTGACGCCATACTGGCGATCCGTTGATCGAGAGTTCCTGCGATTGCGACGCGGCCAGAAATGACCCTGGGACAGGGCGCGCGCGGGGGGCGGGGAGAAAGGAGGGTGAGGAGGATGGGGGGGGGAGGGTAGGAGGAGCTGGGGAAGGAATAAGAGAGGGAGGGGAAAAGGAGGGGGACAAGGAGGGGGGAAGGCGACTTCCGCTGACCTCCAACGCACTTGCTTCGCTCTTGCCGCAATCGTCATTGAGCCCCAGGGTCGATCGGTCGGGCAGGAAGCCCCGTCCTGGAGTCCAGAACTGTTACGCTGACGCTGCAGATCGATGCTACCATGAATTACGGAGGGTTTATTTTGAATGTTGCTGAGAGATTGTATGGAATGGCTGTATCATATCAATCGGCTCTTATTTGGAGGATTTGAATACTGGAATTATCGAACCATTTTTTGGTATGCAATTGATTAATACTTAATTGAATTATTGATTAATGGAATTATTGAGTTATGATTGAATGGAATTATTGAATTATTGAACAATGGAATTATTATTACATTCGAATTATTATTGAATTATTGAATTATTATTGGATTACTGAATTATTGATATTGAATTATTGCGTAGATTTGCTGCTATCGAATTATTGAATTATTGAATAATGATTGCGTTCATTTTCGGCTCGGGATACTTCATCTTTTCTCATCATGAATATTGTCCACGATATTTTCTCAAACCTGTAGCTCATCGACAGAGGATAAGCTTTGAATCCATCTAAATAATAAGAATAAGAAGCAGAAGAAGAAGAATAAGAATAAGAAGAAGAATAAGAATAATAATAAGAAGAAGAATAATAATAAGAATAAGAAGAAGAAGAAGAATAAGAATAATAAGAAGAAGAAGAATAATAATAATAATAAGAATAATAATAATAAGAAGAAGAAGAAAAAGAAGAAGAGGAGGAGGAGGAGGAGGAGGAGGAGGCAGGGGAGGAGGCGTTGGATGAAGACGAGGACGGCGAGCAGAGCGAGGAGGAAGAGGACGAGGACGAGAAGGACCAGGAGGGCCAGGAGGAGGAGTGGTGGGGCTAGGGAAAGGCGGACAGGGGGCAGGAAGAGGTGTGAGGACGAGCAGGGGAAGGAGGTGAGAATGAGGAACGGTGCGAAGGAGAGTCGAAGCACGAGGAAGCGGCGGAGGCGCAATGTGAGGGGGAGGCGAGGGGACGACATGCAGGGACGAGCAGGCTTGCAGCCGCGGCATGTGCGCTGTCGAGAGAAGCTCGCGGTGATGCGCCAGCAGGAGGAATATAACGATGCTGAGGAGGAAGGGGAGGCGACGGAGAAGGAGGATGCCCCCAGAGATCGCAGGCGGTCCATCGAGGTCCCCAGAGGCATCCGGAGGCATTTGCAGGCCCTCAAATTGCCGAGAGAGAGAGAGAGAGAGAGAGAGAGTGAGAGAAAGAGAGATAGAGAAAGAGTGACAGCCACATTCGATCCTATTTGGATCTCGAGGGAGGGGGGGCAAAGACGAGGAGGAGGAGGAGGAAGAGCAGAATGAGCTAGTGGAAGCATGGGAAGCATCGGCAGGAGAAGCTCACGGCCGTGTGCCGGGCTCTGTTCGGGGACCAGTCCGGCGAAAGCATGGAGCAGGCCTCCGCGTGCCTATGATAGTTTCGTTGAGCACCGAATCTCTCTCCCTCTCTCTCTCTTGTCTTTCCCCCTCCTCCCTTTCCCCCGCAGAGCCGCCTTATGACCTCTAGAACCTCCCAAGATCTGAAGATGATGAATCCGTGAACGCGTCCCTTCCATCCGCCCGTTTTTTCTCTTCTCCCAGTGGACCTGTGGATGCCTGGATGGTCCTTCAGGGTCCGTGTCGAGCCGACCGATCCGATTCGGCGACGAGTGCTTGGCATCGCTCGGACGTGTGCATTTTTCCTTCGGCGAGGGCCATCGAGGAGCATCCTTGATCATTTGGCGAACAAACCACGCACGAAACCGAAAAACACACAGGGAATGGACCTCCGAGCGATGGCGAGAGTGCGGCCCGGTCCGACTCGATCCCAGGAACGACCCGATGCGGCCCGATGATGGCAGGGCGAAGTTGTGCATCCTGGGCCCCCCCGGGCGGCGCCTCCAGCGCCGCCCCTGGCGCGCGCCGCGCGCCAGGGAGGGGGGTCCTCGTCGTCTGGATGATGCTCTCCCGTCTCCGCTCGCCTTGTCCGCCCTTTCGGTCCTACCATTCAGCAGGGCCTGTCCCTCTACAGGGGGGATGTTCAAAAGTAGTCTCAAAATAGTCTGAGGACCATATTTTTGTTTAGTATTGTTGTTTGCCATGTTGGTGTATGTTTTGTGTATGTTTTGTTTTCCGTCGAAAATCCCCCCCTGTACGGGGGACACGCCCGACTTAATCCTACCATGTCGGATGATGATGATGAGGCCTAGGCGGAGGTTGGGTCCAAGGACCGTTCCCGTTTAATCGTTTGGGTTTTTGTGTGTGTGTGTGTTCCCCCGACGGAGGCCTTCAGTCCCTCCTGCTGGCCCCCTCCCCCTCCCCCTCCTTGCAGGGTGCCCATCGCTCCCTGAGATCGCGCTCCTCGGCGCGAGGCCGCCGGCTGCCAGTCCGACGGCGCCCCCTGGCCCCGCCAGCACAAGAAACACACTCAGGAGGGGGAACAAAAAACACAGACACAATTAATCTTCGATCCCCAGGAAAATATTGAAAAATATGGGCAGTGGGGGGGAACACAAAAACCCAGAAAATATAAGGAAATATGAGGAATCCCTTTATATGTGTGTATTTATTTGTGTGTCCCAGAGCCCCTTCGCACAACACACGCACAGAGGGGTGCAGGGGGAGTGGGCAGGGCTTCTCAGAAGGAGGCCGCTGCTTACGAGGCGTGGGCGTCGTCTGCAGACGTCAGGCCCGCGCCTTCTCTGAGCGGCCGCCTGTTCCACATGAGCTTGCCCCCCTCCCCCTACCCCGCGTCTGCGCGCCGCCGGCTCTGGTCCCACACGCTATGCCCCTCACTTCCACTCCAGCCGTCGAGCTTTGACAGAAAGCATCGTATTTGTATGGATCGGCCATGGTCGCTGAGCTGGCTAGCAAAGTAGCCAATGTCTGCCGTGGCAAGGATACCTTGTCCCCGTATCTCCGCATTTCCCATCGTACCCATACACCCCAGTCTCTTGCGAGGCCTTCAAGTTCTTCGACACGGACGGCTGCGGTTCCATCGACAGGAGAGGGGCGCCGGGACATTTGTTACATAGCGCGCGTGCAAGTGTACGCCAACATCTTTTATGGCAAGACTAAGGGGGTCTCTTTGGTGGGCCCCATAACATCTGGCCCCCAAAGCCCTCTCTGGCGCGCGGAGCGCGCCTGGGGCGGCGCTGGAGGCGCCACCGAGGGGATCCAGCGGAGATTCAAGAACTCCGCGCGGACTGTCGAAAGTATCATGCCGTTTGGCCTTCCCCTATTGACGTCAGGTGCAGCGACCAGGGAGGACCGGATCTCGCCCTTCTCAACCCCGTCGTCTCCGATGCACAGCGATGCGGAGCTTCCCCCGACCCAGCTGCTCCAGCCCCATTCGGGATGCCTCCGTTCTCAAGTTTCGTTCTTGAGGCGTGGGATGTCCAGCGTGTCAGGGGCAGCGTTCAGGGGGGGAAACTTGATCAGGCTCTCAGGGCAACACATCGGCCCCCAATCGCCCATGCATCACCAATGGGGGCCTGGGCAGAATGGTCCTCCCTGCTGCCCCGACCACCGCGCCGGACTCACCGGACTCACCGGACACGCTGACCACCGGACACACCGGACACACCACGCACCAGACACACCAGACACACTGGACACACCACACAGAGTGGACCCACCGGACACACCGGACACACCGGACTCGCCGGACTCACCGGACTCGCAGGACCCACCCGACTCACCGGACTCGCAGGACCCGCCGGTTTCCCGGACTCGCCGGACTCCCAGATCACCCAACGGTTTTTTTGTATTGGTGATGGTGTCGGTATTGAAATAAGGATTGGGATGATGATGATGGTGATGATGATGAGTACGATGATGATTTGGATGCTTCAGCTGGCGGCGTTCATGATAATGATGTTATGGTGCTTTGCTTTTGAACGGTGATGATGATCAGGGTAATAGCGCTTATCATGGCAATGCGTCCGTTATTGAATAAGCGGGGAGGATGACAATTAAATGAATGGTGTTGGTGAGGAGGAAGAATGGGAAGCGGGTAGAGGATAGCATGGCATACGGGCCATCGTAATGACGAGGGAGATGATGATCATAACGACGACCATGGTAATGATGATGTTGATTGTGGGCGTGGTGGTGATGCCCATGACAACGATGATGACGACGGCGATGGTGATGATGATGATGAGGCTGAAGAGTGCGCTTATGATGATGGGGATGGTTTGTACGATCGTGGTGATGATTCCGTCGGCGGGGGACATGCTGATGGCGATCATTGTGACGATTTTGGTTATGATGATGATGGTGGTGCTGATGTTGAGATGCCCGATTTGGATCATGATGATGATGAGTACGGTGATGACTTGGATAATTATGTTTCGGGTGATTTGCTTCTGAACGTTGATGGTGATTCGGGTGATGGCCCTTATTATGACAATGCGCTGTTGACAAGCGATGAGGAGGACGACAGCGTAAATGGTGTTGTCGACGAGGAAGGGAGGGAAAGAGGTATATGCTAATTAATGATGAGAGATATGATGATCATAACGACGACGATGGTAATGATGATGTTGATGGTGTTCGTTGTGGCGATGCCCATGACGATGATGATTACGACGACGACCATGATGCTGATGATGAGGCTGAAGCGTGTGATTATGATGATCAGGATGGTTTGTACGATTGCGGTGATGACTCCGTCGACGGGGGATATGTTGATGGCGATCATTGTATCGATTTTGACTGTGACGATGGTGGTGTTGATACTGATGTAATGACTTGGGTGATGATGACAAGTACGATGATGACCTGGATGCTGCAGATGGCGGCGATCACGATAATTATGTTCTGGTGATTTGCTTCTGGACGTTGGTGCTGGTTAGGGTGATGGCGCTTATTGCGACTATGCGCATGTTGTGGGTGTGGACAGTGGTGACCAGTTAGCTGTTGATGGTAAGTTTTGCTCCCGTCCTGGACCTCGACCCCTAGGGATGAGGCCGCAAGAGCCCATCGGAAGCGAAAAGGCTCAAAAACACATTGTAGTTGCAAACTCTGTCGGTTTTTTGGTGCCAGCCGATAGCAGACGATAGCATACGAAAGCAAACGATAGCAGACGATAGAAGATGATAGCAAACGATTGCACCCAACTGCCTTGTTGCCGCCTGCTTGCCCCTTTCGGTCCCTGCTGGACCCACAGCTGGTTTCGTGTTATCGTCAGTTTCCGTCTGCAGCGGGTCCTGGCAGCTCCCAGTTGTTCCTATCGTCTGTTATCGTCTTCTGCAAACGATAGCCGACGACAGCCACCCCCGGCGGCCCCTATCAGATCCTATCTTCTGCTATCGTCTGACCGGTTCTCCTATCGTCTGCTATCGTCTGCTGCAGAAGGTAGCAGACGACAGCCACCCCTGGCGGCCCCTGTCAGATCCTATCGTCTGCTATCGTCCGCAATCGTCTGCACTGGTTCTTAGCGGCCCCCAGCTGGACCTATCGTGTGCTATCGTCTGCAATCGTCTGCAGCGGTTCCAGGCGGCCGCTACCTGGTCCTATCGTCTGCTATCGTCTGCTGCAGACGATGGCAGACGATTGCCACCAGTTGCCCTAATGCGTCTATCGGCACCTGCAGACGATGCCCATCGAGCAACGATGCCCAGGCGAATTATCTTGATCAGGAAGAGGATGGCGATTGGAGCGAGGAGGGGGAAAGAGTATGAGGGGAAGGATGGAAACGAGGGGGAAAAGGAGAGCGAACGGAACTGGGCAGCGGGAGTGGGATGACGAGTACAAGAATGAGAGGGCGGAGGAGAAGTGCAGTGTGAGTGTATATGGGTGTGCGCATGAGAGTGAGTGTGTACGATCTTAAGCTTATAGGAGAGTGATTGGTCTGTTTGTGAACGGGTGTGTGTGTGTCGATGCCCATCCAGCAACGATGCTCAGGCGAATGATCTTGATCAGGGAGAGAATTGGGAGGGGAGCGAGGAGGGGGAAAGAGGATGAGGAGAAGGAGGAAAACGAAGGGGAGGAGGAGAGCGAACGGAATTGGTTAGCGGGAGGAGGATGAGGGGTACGATAATGAGAGGGCGGAGAAGAAGTGGCGTGTGAGTGTATATGAGTGCGCGCCTGAGTGTGACCGTGTATGAGCTGAATTAAGCTTCTAGGAGTGTGAGTGGTTTGTGTGTGAATGGGTCTGTGTGCTATTGAGTTCTATTGAGCTTGAGTCTGGGTGTGAGTGAGTCTGGTTGCGGATGAGTCAGAGTATGAGGTATGAGTGAGTGCGAGTGCGGGGGAGACTGAGTGTGAGTGCAGGTCGGGCCTTGAATCTGGAGTTTGAGCGCGTCCCGGACCGAGTTCCAGCTGTCAGGGCCCGAAAGCAGCTTCCATATGGCCTCACCAGGCTCGCCGGACTCACCGGTTTCACCAGACTCACCAGACCCACCGGCGACAGTGGAGGAGGCGCCGGACTCACAGGACCCGCCGGGTCCACCGGACTCGCCAGACTCACCGCAGTCCCCGGACCCGCTGGACTCACTGGACTCGCCGGACCTACCGGACCCACCGGATCCGCCAGCAGCGCCGGATCCGGCCGGGCCCACCGGACTGGGGCAGCAGGGTGCACCATCGTCGGCCTGGGAGCCCCAATCCGCCGATTCCAAGTCAACTCTACCGGCAATGCGCTGCATTGCCGATTCCAGGTCAATGCTTTTTCCCCTAGCCAGTTCCCCGTCTATCGTTGCCCCTCGTGACGTCCCCCGGACCTAGGTGCACCGAATGTTACTCGAGTTCCGAATCGTCCCGACCACTCGCGCAGCAGCCGGACAGATCAAATGCCAGGAAAGTTCCAGACGGCGTTCGAGGAAGGGGTCGGGGTCGGCCATCCTTCAGTGGCAACGTGAGGGGAGGTAGGGGGGGGATCGATTGATACATGCCCATTCATCGCCGACGGGGGTCTGATAGCCCACCGTGCCAAGGAGAGTACGCATTCGTTATCGGCACCCATCGCCAATCTATCGGCGATGCGTCACCGATTCAAGCTCTGTGTTCCCCCCTGAGCTGGTCACCCCCCTAACGTTGCCCCTCAATCCTGTATTGAGCCAAATTGATTTCGTACAAAAGGTTGGCTGCGACGCTTCTTGGGAACCACAACCGATCTGTAACGCTGCGGCGGCTTTGCTGTGCGACTTTGGAGGAGAGGTCCCCGGTTCGATTCCCGAGGGACACGTACTTATGTCACCGGCTCGCGCGGACGAAGGGCAGTGTGATAGCCTCGAGAGGGCCGATTTCTCGACGACGCCAGACGCCGAACGGGCGGAGAAGGGATCCGTGGTGCTTGCAAAGGTCCGCGCGAACTTCGAAGCCAGGAGGGGGCCAAGAGCATCCTTCAAGCAGTGGCGAAGCGTCCCGGCTCGCCTATAGCCCCACCAAGCAATGCTCTAAGAACCGCTTGTGGTTCCCACGGAATGCTCTTCGAACAGTTATGGCCGGGACTGCACTGTTTTGACACATCGGCTTTATGTTTTCAGAACATCGTTTTTGTTATTAGAATTTTCTGGGTTCTAAGAACACTGATTTAACACATGGGGTTTGTGTTATGAGAACATTGTGTTTGTTTTTCGTGTATGTTTGGGTTCTAAGAACACTTCGTGGTATGACCATAGGAATGCCGGGACGATCTGTCCCTGCTCAAAACCCACAACCTCGATCTTCGCACTTCGATCGTCGATTTTCGTATCTCGATCGTAGATTTATGTCGGGCGCGTCCCCCTTACAGGGGGATTTTCGACGAAAAATCAATAAATACCCAAAGCATGCCCCAAAAGGTAAAACAATAGTCCCCGAACTATTCTTGTACCATTGTTTGATTATTTTTGGGGGCAGGCCTCGGCCGTGGGTTTGCGAGAGAGAGCTCGCACCTCGATCGTCGGTCGTCCATCCCCTTTTCCTCATCCTGCTCGACACCGCAGCTCGCACCCGCGCTCGAGGCGGGGGAGTGAAGAGGAGGCGGATGAGGAGAGGGAGGGGGGAGGACGCAGAGAAAGGGTCGGGGGGAGGAGGAGGCGGAGGAGGAGGAGGAGGAGGAGGATGAGGAGGAGGAGGAGGAGGAGTATATGAGGAGGGGAAGACGAGAGAGAGAGAGATAGAGAGAGAAGGAGAGAGTTGGACTGGGGGGGGGAGCGGAGGGAGGAGTGGGAGAAGGATGTAAGAGAACGGGGAGGGAGGAGGAGCGGGATGAGGAGGCGGAGGGGAGGAGGATGGGGCAGGAGGGGGCGCAGAACGGGGGAAGCGTAGCAGGAGGGAGTGGAAACATGTCTCTCCCCTCCCTCCCCTCCCCCCCCCTCCTTCTCATCCCCTCAACCGCGAGCAGAATGTCCCCTCTTTGGTACACTGGCATCTTCGTCCTCTTCTTCTTCGTGTTACGGTATGTCTTATTACCATTATGTTTACTATTCGTGTTCTCGTTTTTTTTTGTTCGTTTTCTTATTATTATTATTATTATTATTCTTATTCGTCTTATTATGATTCTTAATTGCTTGGCGGCGGGACGGGCTGAGACGCCGAACGGGCTCAGGAGGGAACCTTGAGGCCCGCCGAGATCCCCGCGGGCTTCTGGAGGCCCAGGGAGGGCCAGCCAGTGTCCCCCGAAAACCTCGGTCTGCACACCCTGGCCGTCGATCCTCGAGCGTCGATCTTCCATCGTCGATCCTCGACCTTGGATCGTCAATCCTCGATGCTCGATCCTCGATCGTCGATCCTCGATTCCCTGTCGTCTGCACACCTCGGCCGGCGATGCTCGATCGTCGATCATCCATCCTCGATCCTTTGTCGTCTGTCCTCGGGCACGATCGTCGATCGTAGATCATATTCTTCTCCTTCTGATTCTTCCCACCCTTCTTCTTCTTCCCGTTGTTGCCCGCTTCTCGTTAGAAGTAGGTACGTCTTGATCCCAAAAGCCTCATCTACTAAAAGCGCCGTCTCACTTCAAGAGGCTGTAGGTTTCCTCGTTGGTATCCGGACGGGCCCGGGCCCAGTCTGCTTTGCCCGCCGTCCCGCTTCATGCTTCCACGTGCTCCTTCCGACTGGCGGGCATCCGTCCTCCTCCTCCTCCTCCTTTCTGGCCGGGCGAAAGGGGGGGATTGGGAAAGGGGGGGGGGTACGAAATCTGCTGCATGTAGCTGGTTTCGGCCCCACCGAGGGGCCCATTCCGAATTCCTCGATACATGGGCGCCTCCCCGGCTCAGCTACGTGAGCTGATTCTCCCCCCCCTTTGCTACCCGACCTCATGCTTCCACGTGCTCCTTCCGACTGGCGGGCATCCGTCCGTCCTCCTCCCCTCCCCGCTGTAGGGCGGAGTTCCGGAAGGCCCTGCCCCTCATGGGCGAGAAGGCCCGGCGCGCCGCGGCCCGCCGCAGTTTGCGGGGCGGGGGAGGGCACCTCGACGGAGCGCCAGGGCGGGCACCGCTCGGACGTGCGCATTTTTTCTCGGCAAGAACCATCGAGGAGCATCCTTGATCATTTGGCGACAAAACCATGCACGAAACCGAAAAAACACAGGGAATGGGCGTCCGAGCGATAGCGAGAGGGCGGACGAGTTCTTCCACCGAGGTCGGGAAACGCCATAAAGCACAAGACGCTCCGCGCGGATTCAGACCCGAGAAGTCCGCGCGGAGGGGCAGAAGTTCAGTTTGCATGCGGTGTGTACGTTTCTTCTTCTTCTTCTTCGTCTTCTTCGTCTTTTTCTAGAGGAGGGGGAGCCGGCCACGCGCGGAGGGGGGCAGGGGGAGGGGCGCAGGCTCCTGAGAGACACCTCTGCTTCTGAGAGAAGCTTGTCCCCCCTGCTACCCATAATTACCCCGCCTGTGCGCACCGCCGAGGGGGGAGGGAGGAGGAGGGAGGAGGGAGGAGGCAGAGGACGCGGAGGAGGAGGGGCAGGGCGAGGACGAGGAGGAGGAGGAAGGCGCGGGGGAGGAGGAAGGCGCGGGGGAGGGGGGGGGACGCAGGAGGACGAGGCGGCCGAGGCATTCGTCGGAGGAGGGCGACGCGGAGGAGGAGGACGAGATGGAGGACGACGAGGACGAGGACGCGGACGAGGAGCAGGAGGAGGAGGAAGGGGAGGAGGACGCGGAGGAGGAGGAGGACGGGGAGGCCGAGGAGGAGGAGGCGGGGGAGAAGGGGATGGTAGGAGGAGGGCAGAAGAGAGGGGAGGAGCCTGGCCCGCAGAGCGCGCAGGAGCCTTACCATGAAGTCGGGCATGTCCCTCCACAGACGGAAGGTTCCATGTTAGCCAGCGTGGAGCCCACGCAGTAGGGTCTTGCAATCTATGCGGTGCAATAGATGTGGTGTAATGTATGCGATGCAACTTGTATGGTGCAATATATGCGGTGCAACATATGTGGTGCGATCTATGCGATGATGAAACGTTTGTAATGCAATAGATGCGGTGCAATCCATGTGGTGCGATCTATGCGATGATGCAACCTATGGAATGCAACGTATGCGGTGCAATATATTGTGTGCAACGCATGCGATGCGACCTATGTAATGCAGTCTACGCCGTGCAATCTATGTGGTGCAGCAGCGTATGCGATGCAATTCGTGTAATGCAACATATGCGGTGCAATGCATGCGATGCGGTGACGGCGACGGGCGGTGATGGCGGCAACGGGCGGGGACGTCGACGGGCGGCATGGGCGGCGACGGGCGGCGACGGGCGTCGACGGACGGCGACGGGCGGGGATGGGGGCGACGGGCGGCGACGGGCGGCACGACGGCGATTCTGCGGCAAGAGTCCCGAGATGGTTCACCGAAGTATGACCCCCTAGAGCTGCAAGCACTTGGTGTGGAAACATACTAAAACAATAGTCTGGGGACGAGTATTCAACTATGGTTTGAACATGTTTTCCCTATTTTCGCTTTTCTTCCAGCATCCGCCTGGAGGAGGACATGCCCGACCGAGCCAAACTTTCGGAGGTTCGCGCGGGCAGCTTGAATCGGCGCTGGGCCTCCCCTGGAGGTGCATCCACAGCAGGAGCAGATGAAGCATCAGAGAACATATCTTTCACACCTGCGTTAACAGAAACGGTTGTCCGCGCGAACCTCCGAACAGTTATGCATTTGCCGCTTGAGCTCTTCTAGTTGACCCCTAGTCCTTGGCCCAGCGTACGTATGGCCAGGGGGCGTGCTCGGGATGTCTGTCTCTGGGAGCGCCGTGCGCGCAGATCTCGAGCAACGCGCAGCCGCTGCCCCTGCGCACCCGGGCAGGTCTCAGAGGCCAGGATCGACGAGCTCTTCGCCATCGTGGACACCGACACCAACGCCAAGGATGCCGCGCATTTGGCCTCTCTGTTTCGGCGGCGAGCGAGGGGGGGGCAGTGAGGAGGAGAAGGCCTGCGCAGAAGGCGGCGGGACTTCTCAGAAGCCTTCGCGCCTTCTGAGAGATTTGTTTGCGGCGTCCTCGGGGAAGGCTCAGAACTCATAACACTTCTCATAAGGGCGGGAAACTTCCGAGCCGTCTGAGAAGGCCCGCCCCTTCTTACTTCGCCCCCGGGCGCGCCGCCTACTGCTGTTGTTTCACGGCGTCGGGGCACAGGGGCAGGGCCCGTGGCTGGAGAGCGGCACCGGGGCCGGAAGAGGCTCTCGGCACGGGGGCGGAAAGGGGAGCGGGGCGAGCCGCAGGAGAGGGGGGGCGGACCGCTTCGGGCGACGGGGAACATAGAAGCGCACACACACACACACACACGCAACCACGCACACACACACACACACACACGCACGCACGCACGCACGCACACACGCACACACGCACACACGCACACACGCACCACACGCACACACGCACACACGCACACACGCACACACGCACACACGCACACACGCACACACACACATTCACACACACACATTCACACACGCACACGCACACACACATTCACACACACACACACACGCACACGCACACACACGGATCCAGGCCAGGGTGGGAGCGAATGCACGTTGCGTCTGCCAGATCGGCGCGAGCGTGGGCGAGGGAGGGCGCAGAGGCAGGAGGAGGGAGGAGGAGGCGAGGGAGGGCCGAAAGTGCGACGAGGGCGCGGGCGAGAGCGAGGACGAGCAGTCACAGGGGCGGGGGCAGGTGGGAGGAGGAGGAGGAGGAGGAGAGGAGGAGGAGGAGGTGGGAGAGGAGGAGGAGGAGAAGGAGGAGGAGGAGGAGGTGGAGTAGGAGAAGGTGGGAGAGGAGGAGGAGGAGGAGGAGAGGAGCGGAGAGCTGGGCGACGCCACCTTCGTCGCCGGCGCCGTCGACCTCTCTTTGCGCTCGTAGTGTAAGGGGCCTGGTCGGCGCACCCGCTCCCCCTATAGGAGAGGAGTGGCCGTTGGTCGCGCGTCGCTCTTGGGGGAACCGACTCGTTCGAGGGGCGTTGGGCTTGGCATCGCTCGGCTCGGACGTGTGCACGTCTTCGCGGCGGTGACCACGGAGGAGCTTCTTGGATCAGCTTGCGAGAACAAGCCCGCTCCTACGAGTGCAGCTGCAGAACGCAATTGAAGACAGCAGCGCGGTGGCGGTGGCACCGACTGCATGGATAAGGAGACGGGTGGAGAGTCAAGCGGGACATTGCTGTAAGGAGGGTGAAGATAAGGAGAGAAGCAACAGGCATTATCGGAAACAATGTTTGATTATATTTTGAGGGAAGACCCGACATTTATTATCATGTGCGCAGGTGGGTTGACATCAATTGCTTTGGCTGCACCTTGCCGTGTTTTTTTAATGTATCTATAAGCTTCGCTGGTCTCATCGGAAGGTCGTCACCGCTTCGTGCGATCCGATATGTTCAGTCAGATCGCCTCGAATAATTACCCACGCACCTCGAATTGCTGACGCCCACGGCCACACGACGCTGACCTTTCTGCTATCAAGACAGTGTTCCAAGGTAGACGTCAACGAGTTTGGAAGACTGGTGAGCCGGCTCTCTTACTTCTCTCTGGTGTTGTGTTGTTTCCCGTTGCCTTATTCCGTTGCGTTGTCGCGCGTGTCTGCCACTGTGTGTCGGGGGCGAGCGGAGGTTCCAGGTGGGCGGCCCGGGGGGAGAGGCATGTCCATATGTTGTTGGCACTGATCTGCGTGGGAGGGTGGTCTACTCTAGTAGCGGCGGCAGTAGCAGCTCCCGTCGCAGACATTCAAGTAGTAGCAGCAGTAGTCGCAGTCGCAGAAGAGCGTCGTAGACGCAGTCGCAGCCGCAGCAGCAGTCGCAGTCGAGGCAGATGTGGCAGTAGTAGTAGTAGTAGTAGTAGTAGCAGTTGTTGTTGTAGTAGTAGTAGCAGCAGTAACAGTAGTAGTAGTAGTAGTAGTAGTAGTAGTAGTAGTCGTAGTCGTAGTCGTAGTCGTAGTCGTAGTCGTAGTAGTAGTAGTAGTAGTAGTAGTAGTAGTAGTAGTAGTAGTAGTAGTATTAGTAGTAGTAGTAGTAGTAGTAGTCGTAGTAGTAGTAGTAGTAGTAGTAGTAGTAGTAATAATAGTAGTAGTAGTTGTTGTACTAGTTCTAGTAGTTGTAGTAGTAGCAGTAGTTGTACTAATACTACTACTACGGCTACTACTACTACTACTACTACTACTACTACTACTACTACTACTACTACTACTGGCACTAGTTACGAGGTAGTAGTAGTAGTAGTATCAGTAGTAGTAGTAGTAGTAGTAGTAGTAGTGTAGTAGTAGTAGTAGTAGGAGGAGTACTAAGAGTAGGTGAAATAGAAGAAGAAGTAGTAGTAGTAGTAGTAGTAGTAGTGGGTGGTAGGCGTTGTAGTCTTAATAGTCGTAGTAAGCGTCGCAGTAGTAGCAGTAGTGAGTGGTGGTGGTTAGTAGTAGTAGTAGTAGTAGTAGTAGTAGTAGTAGTAGTAGTAGTAGTAGTAGAAGTTAGTAGTAGTAGTAGTAGTAGTAGTAGTAGGGGTAGTAGTAGTAGTAGTAGCAGTAGTAGTAGTAGTAGTAGTAGTAGTAGTAGTAGTCATTGAAGTACTAGAAATATGAGGTTGTAGCAGTACCAGTAGTAGAATTAGAAGTAGTAGTAGTAGTAGTCGTAGTAGTTGTCGTGGCCGTAATCGCAGTTGTAGTAGCAGTAGTCGTAGTTTCAAGTAGTAGCAGTAGCCATAATATGAGCAGTAGTAGTAGTAGGAGGAGGAGGAGTCAGTAGTAGTAGTAGTAGTAGCAGCAGCAGCAGTAGTAGCATATGTCGTAGTAGTAGTAGTAGTAGTAGTCGTAGTCGTAGTCGTAGTCGTAGTCGTAGTCGTAGTCGTAGTCGTAGTCGTAGTCGTAGTAGTAGTAGTAGTAGTAGTAGTAGTAGTAGTAGTAGTAGTAGTACTACTACTACTACTACTACTACTCGTAGTAGTAGCAGTAGTGGTAGTTCCCCACATGCTTCGTGGGGTTCTGGTTTTCTTCCCTGCCGCGCCGCACCCGCGACACTCACACACACACACACACACCTCACTCTTCGTACAGCACAGCTCAGCACAGCACATCACAGCACAGCACAGCTCAGCACAGCAAACAGCTCAGCTCAGCTCAGCTCAGCTCAGCACACAGCTCAGCACAGCTCAGCACAGCCCAGCACGGCTCAGCTCAGCACAGCACAGCACAGCTCGTGGCACTTTCTCGACATCGTGCGCAGGGGGTGGTCTCTCGCCGCCGTCTCTATACTCGCCAGTCTTCCAGGGCACACCAGGCATGGCATATTCTCGACACCGCCGGGGGGTGCGGAGGGGTGGTTTTTTACCGCGGTCTCTATACGCCCCGGTCGTCCAGGCACAGCAGGCGTGGCACTTTCTCGACACCATAGGGGGTGCGCAAGGGCTGGTCTCTCACCGCGGTCTCTATACGCCCCACTCGTCCTGGCACAGCAGGCGTGGCACTTTCTCGACACCACAAGGGGTGCGGAGGGGGTGGTTTCTCACCGCGGCTTCTATACGCCCCGGTCGTCCAGGCACAGCAGGCGTGGCACCTTCTCGACACCATAATGGGTGCGCAAGGGGGTGGTCTCTCACCGCGGTCTCTATACGCCCCAGTCGTCCAGGCACAGCAGGCGTGGCACTTTCTCGACACCTGAGGGGGTGCGCAGGGGGTGGTCTCTCACCGCGGTCTCTATACGCCCCGGTCGTCCAGGGCACACCAGGCATGGCACTTTCTCGACACCATAGGGGCTGTGGGGGGGGTGTTTTTTTCACCGCAGTCTCTATACGCCGCGGTCATCCAGGCACAGCAGGCGTGGCACTTTCTCGACACCATAGGGGGTGCGCAGGGGGTGGTCTCTCGCCGCCGTCTCTATACGCGCCAGTTTTCCAGGGCACACCAGGCATGGCATATTCTCGACACCGCAGGGGGTACGCAGGGGGTGGTTTCTCACCGCGGTCTCTATGCGCCCCGGTCGTCCAGGCACAGCAGGCGTGGCACTTACTCGACACCATAGGGGGTGCGCAAGGGCTGGTCTCTCACCGCGGTCTCTATACGCCGCAGTCGTCCAGGCACAGCAGGCGTGGCACTTTCTCGACACCGTAGGGGGTGCGCAGGGGGTGGTCTCTCACCGCGGTCTCTATACGCCCCGGTCGTCCAGGCACAGCACGCGTGGCACTTTCTCGACACCATAGGGGGTGCGTGGCTCTTTCTCGACACCGTGCGCAAGGGGTGGTCTTTCGCCGCCGTCTCTATTCGCGCCAGTCTTCCAGGGCACACCAGGCATGGCATATTCTCGACACCGCAGGGGGTACGCAGGGGGTTGTTTCTCACCGCGGTCTCTATACGCCCCGGTCGTCCAGGCACAGCAGGCGTGGCACTTTCTCGACACCATAGGGGGTGCGCAAGGGCTGGTCTCTCACCGCGGTCTCTATACGCCCCACTCGTCCTGGCACAGCAGGCGTGGCACTTTCTCGACACCATAAGGGGTGCGCAAGGGGGTGGTTTCTCACCGCGGCCTCTATACGCCCCTGTCGTCCAAGCACAGCAGGCGTGGCACTTACTCGACACCTTAGGGGGTGCGCAGGGGGTGGTTTCTCACCGCGGTCTCTATACGCCCCAGTCGTCCTGGCACAGCAGGCGTGGCACTTTCTCGACACCATAGGGGCTGCGGGGGGGGGGTCACCGCGGTCTCTACACGCCGCGGTCATCCAGGCACAGCAGGCGTGGCACTTTTCTCGACACCGTAGGGGGGGTGCGCAGGGGGTGGTCTCTCGCCGCCGTCTCTATACGCGCCAGTCTTCCAGGGCACACCAGGCATGGCATATTCTCGACACCGTAGGGGGTGCGCAGGGGGTGGTTTCTCACCGCGGTCTCTATACGCCCCGGTCGTCCAGGCACAGCAGGCGTGGCACTTTCTCGACACCACAAGGGGGTGCGCAAGGGCTGGTCTCTCACCGCGGTCTCTATACGCCGCAGTCGTCCAGGCACAGCAGGCGTGGCACTTTCTCGACACCGTAGGGGGTGCGCAGGGGGTGGTCTCTCACCGCGGTTTCTATACGCCCCGGTCGTCCAGGCACAGCACGCGTGGCACTTTCTCGACACCATAGGGGGTGCGCAGGGGGTGGTCTCTCACCGCGGCCTGTATACGCCCCGGTCGGCACAGCAGCGTGGCACTTCCTCGACACCATAAGGGGGTTGTCCCTCAGCGCGACCGCTATGCGCCTTTGTCGTCCCGGGCACAGCATGCGTGGGACTGTCTCGACATTATAAGGGGTGCGCAGGGGGTGGTCTCTCACCGCGGCCGCTATCCGTGACGGTCGTCCAGGGCACAGCAGGCATGGCATATGTTCGACACCATAGGGGGTGCGCAGGGGGTGGTCTCTCACCGCGGCCGCTATCCGTGATGGTCGTCCAGGGCACAGCAGGCATGGCATATGTTCGACACCATAGGGGGTGCGCAGGGGGTGGTCTCTCACCGCGGCCGCTATCCGTGACGGTCGTCCAGGGCACAGCAGGCATGGCATATTCTCGACACCATAAGGGGGTGCGCAGGGGGTGGTCTCTCACCGCGGCCACTATCCGTGACGGTCGTCCAGGGCACAACGGTATCGGCGGGGCAACGGCCACGAACATCATTCTCACATGCTTCACTTCAGCTCTCAGCACTCCAGCCATAATATAAGTATGTGGGTTTTCTCGGTAGCGTAAATTTCCATGTCGCCGTAGTATCAGTAATACGAGTAGTTGTGGCAGTACTAGTAGTAGTCGTAGTAGTAGAAGTAGGGGTAGGAATAGGCATAGTAGTGGTCGTAGTACTAGTACTAGTAGTAGGAGGAGGAGGAGTCAGTAGTAGTAGTAGTAGTAGTAGTAGTAGTAGTAGTAGTAGTAGTAGTAGTAGTTGTAGCAGTAGTAGTAGTAGTAGCAGTAGTAGTAGTAGTAGTCGTAATAGTAGATATATGTGTACTAGAGGTGGTAGTGGTAGTGTTACTGGTAGTGGTAATCGTGGTATTGGTTGTAGCAGTCTTTTTAGTAGGCGGCTTAGTATCAGTAGTCGTAGTAGTAGGAATAGCAGTATGACCAGTCGCAGCACAGTAGTAGCCTTTGAAAGTGTAGAAGATGCCGTGCTAGTAGTAGGCATAGTAGTGTTCGCAGTAGTAGCAGCACCAGTATTAGCAGCAGCGTAGTCGTAGCAGCGGTGGTAGAAGTAGCCGCATGTGCAGTAGAAGTGGTAGTGGTAATGGTAGTGGCTGTGGTAGTCTCCGTGTTAGTGGTAGTGGTTGTAATATGTAGTAGTAGTAGTAGTAGTAGTAGTAGTAGTAGTAGTAGTAGTAGTAGTAGTAGTAGTCGTAGTTTTTAAAAGTAGTAGTAGCAGTGGTAGTAGAAGTAGTAGTAGTAGTCGTAAGACTAGCCTGTATTAGTAGCAGTAGCTATAGTCGTGTTAGTAGACGCAGCAGTAATATTAGTAGTAGTAGTCGTCGTCGATGCAGTGTTAGTAGGCATACAAGTGAATATAGCCGTCGTCGTAGTGGTAGTCGTCGTCGTAGTCGCATTCATAGTAGTAGTAGTAGTAGTAGTAGTAGTAGTAGTAGTAGTAGTAGTAGTAGTAGTAGTAGTAGTAGTAGTAGCAGTAGCAGTAGCAGTAGCAGTAGCAGTAGCAGTAGTAGTAGTAGTAGTAGTAGTAGTAGTCGTCGTAGTAGTGGTAGTAGTCGTAGTCGTAGTCGTAGTCGTAGTCGTAGTCGTAGTCGTCGTAGTAGTAGTAGTAGTAGTAGTCGTCGTAGTAGTAGTAGTAGTAGTAGTAGTAGTAGTCGTAGTAGTAGTAGTAGTAGCCGTAGTAGTAGTAGTCGTAGTCGTAGTTGTAGTAGTAGTTGCAGTAGTAGTAGTAGTAGTAGTAGTAGTAGTAGTCGTATTAGTAGTAGTAGTAGTAGTAGTAGTAGTAGTAGTAGTAGTAGTAGTGGTGGTAGTCGTGGTAGTAGTAATAGTTGTAGTGGTAGTGGCAGTGGTAGTGGTAGTAGTGATGGTGGTGGCGGTCATGATAGTAGTGGCCGCGACGGTCGGCCACCCAGCGCCAGCCAGCGCGCGGAGCGGCGGCGAGCGGCCTCAACGCCAGTGCGCGCACAGGGTTGCTACGGATGGGCGGTTGGTGGCCAGTTCCCGAAAAACCCAGAAACGCCAACTCAACGCACGATGCAGCGTCAATTGTTCATGATGAAAGGTTGCACACCCTCAGGCAGGCCTAGAACGAGGACAATTCGTTCCAGAGCAACCGGTAACGCTCTGAGAGGGTGATACATCGGGAACCTCTGAGTGCCAGTGGTTATTGATGAAGTATCCTTGTGTCCGTCTAGCGTCACCCTTTGGCTTACCACAGCAAGTAATACCATATTTGTAGAAGCGTTGTTGCACGCATGTCTGTATAAGTATTCATGCTCACAAAGCCGCTTCATATGCAATACATATACACATTTGCATATCTACACGTGTATATGCATCTCGTATGACGAGATACGTATGTATTCCGAAATGCAGACAGCGAGAGTTCTTCATTCCTGCCTCTTTTCTGGAAAGTTCCTGCGGTCTCGCTTCATTCCGCGTTGGCTCGTTCTTGCCTTCAACGCAGTCGTGCTGATCCTCTCCCGGGCTCCCCCCCGTTCCCCTCCCTGTCCGAGGTGGAAGAGTCCACCGAACTTCGTGCGAACATTCTGTCTGGGAATTCTCCTCCATCCCCCCTTTTGCCTCCCGCCTCGCCCGCCTCATGCTCCGAGAGCCGGCACTGAGACAAAGACGATCCGGGATGTACGTATGGGGATGATGGCAGCACCAGCCGTCAGAGCCACGTGTTAGTATGGCAGGGGGTGGTCAGGGATACGATTTGATTCGGGCCTTCCATTTTCGCGTCCGAGATGGTTTGGATTGCGCTCAAATGTCCCAGATCACAGTCTGTCCCATGTATCCATTCCCCAGCACCCTCCTGGATCACAATTGGGGGCGCCAAACAGGCTCCTACCTGGATGAATTCGGGTGCGCAGAGTTTCTTGAGTTGGTAATGTGTCGGCGTACGCACAGACAGCCTCCCGAGGTAGTCCCGGCTGGTTGCAACAGGCCCGTCGAGTAGTTTTAGTTGGCCTCAACAGGCCCCACTCATAGTCCAGACTTCTCAGAGGCCTCCAGAGCCAGGGTGTTGAGACCGCCCTGGACTATTCAGTGGACTTGTTGAGGCCAGCTTGGCCTATTCGGGGGGCCTGATGAGGCCAGCTGGGACTACCAGGGGGTTCTGTGCGCAATCCGAGGCTTTACCAGTTTTACGTAGTTATGTTGTCTCGTTTCCTCTTTGCCCCCTCTCATGGTGCTCGATGGCAACGGGCTGCGCAGGTGAGGGGCATGAATCCCAAGGGCTACACGGCCGACGACGCCCTGACCGCGTTCAAGGACGCTGCGGCCGTGCTGTACACACGCCGATCTGGGCTGCAGCCTTGGCTCAGGGACTTCTTGTCGCCATGACGGAAGGGGGTCCTGAGGGAAACGGGTCCTAAGATCACTAAAGCACGATTTGGTTGTTGAGAGGCGAATGTTCTCATTGAAGGCAAGATACTGCGCTCATGCAGATTACTGAATGCAGAACGCATGCTGCCTTCAGTGAGCCCTTTTGAACTCAGCGAATGGGTCCTGAGTTCTTCCTACGTTTTCGGACTGGCGGGGCCCTGCATGGGCTCACGGGACCGTCCATAAACGCATGGGTGGTCCTGTTTGTCGCATGCCATTGTTTCTCGATCGTTTTTTTCCCCAACCATCCTGTGGTCTTGGGTCCTCGTTTTGAAGAGACAGCGCCCCGTGTCTCACCTCCTCCTCCCTCCTCCCTGCGTTTCACCCACCCAGTACAGCGCTTCGTGGTCCCATAGGGAGCTCCACCGAAGGCCCCAGTGGCAGGGTTCGCATGGCGGCCCCGCGCCATTTTGGCGCACCCTTCACACGGTTCGTGGCCCCATAGGGAGCTCCACCGAAGGCCCCAGTGGCAGGGTTCGGATGGCGGCCCCGCGCCATTTTGGCGCACCCCTCACACGGTTCGTGGCCCCATAGGGAGCTGCACCGAAGGTCCAGTGGCAGGGTTCGGATGGCGGCCCCGCCCCATTTGGGCGCACCGCTCACACGGTTCGTAGCCCCATAAGGGGCTCCACCGAAGGCCCCAGTGGCAGGGTTCGCATGGCGGCCCCGCGCCATTTTAGCGCACCCATCACACGGTTCGTGGCCCCATTGAGAATTCCCTTTGCTTTGTCCCACTTGCCCTGCGGTTCTCACACTTGCGTATGGTTGGGTCCTTCGCGAGGATAATTTCTCTCTCGCTCTCACTCTCTCTCTTTCTTATTTCCCTCGCTTCTCCCCGTCCCTTTTCGGATGCCAAGAAATAGCCTCCCGAACAACCAGCAGCTTCTGTCCTCAATGTTCAATCCTCCTTCTCGAGCGCGCAAGGACATGCGGTCATACGGCGCTCGCTTTCCGCCATCCGTCGCTCGTCCGTCGTGTCGTGCTTTTTTCTTCCGTGTCCTTTGCCATGCAGACCTCTGCCGCTGGTGATCAAGCGTTCTTGCTGGACTTGTGTCCGAGGCAGGGATTTCTGCATGACCACCGCCTGGAGGATCCATTTTCGGGGACCTCGACAGGCGGTGGACATGGACACATGTTCGGGCCCCGGGGGCCAACATGTGTGTCCATATCCACCGCCCGCCGGGGCACCAGCAGGACCACGGTTCCCAGGCGGTGGATATGGACAGATCCCCGCCTCTTACCAGCCTGGAACCTATCCCTATCCCTATGTTAGGCATCGGCTCATCACGATGGCGATCTTAGGGCTTCCCTCAGTTTCTGAGGGTGCATCCCTAAGATTGTCATCGCCTTTGGGCGTGCCAATCTTAGGGATAGGGATAAGTTCGAGGCTGGTTAGCCTCGCAGTGTGCGCACGATGCTTCGGGCACACGGCGTTGCTCCCGGCGCGCCCCGGTCTGCCAGCGGGGCACGGGGAGCACGAGAGCCGTCGAGCCTGCAGCGGCGACCTCCGCGTGCGGCGGCGTGTGCGCCTGCCGCCCTTTTGCGGCAGGCGGGCGGGAGGGCACGAGGCGCGAGCGGGAGGGCGGGGCAGGGAGGCGGACGACCAGGAGGAAGGGGGAGGCCACGAGGGGAGGATGACGACGGCGAGGGAAGGGCGCGAGGCTCGAGGACGACGAGGGGGGGCCACGAGGCTTGAGAGGGCGGCGGGGGGGCGGACGACGAGGCGGGGAGGACACGCGGCTTGAGGAGGAGGAGGCGGAGAGGAGGCGGAGAGGAGGAGGAGGAGGAGGAGGAGGAGGAGGAGGAGAGGAGGAGGGAGGAGGAGGAGGAGGAGGAGGAGGCGGAGAGGAGGAGGAGGAGGAGGAGGAGGAGAGGAGGAGGAGGAGGAGGGAGGAGGAGGAGGAGGGAAGGCTTGAGGAGGAGGAGGCGGAGAGGAGGCGGCGGCGGATGACAGTGGGGGGCCCATGCCAAGAATCACCCAGCTGGCCTCCAGGGTACCATGGGTGTCTTGGGCGTCGGTGGTCTTGCGATGGTAAGCGCGGCGTTCCCGCGCCAGAGATAAGGGGACGTCCTGGGGTCGCAGGGTCGGATTTGTGGGAGTATGCTTGTGGACTGACCACCACTGTACCATCGAAGCCAACGAAGACTTGCATTCGGATAAGATGCTGGTAGCCCCTTCGGAAGGAGAAAAGGCACTTCCTGTGTTGTTCGGCAGAGGGCGGTGCATCACCGCGCATCGTTGAGCGGTGCCGCAGCTTACCCCTCCCCCAGGCAGGAGAGAAGAGGAGAGGAGAGGTAGAGGAAGAGAGGGAGGAACGAGGATCGAGTTTCTTGTGCATCGTTGTCCTTTGTAGGGGTGGGGGGCTCGAGATATTTTTCGAGGCCTCTGGGGACCTCCAGGAGCCTCCTTGGGACCTCTAGGGACCTCGGGGTTCAGGCAGTTCACATGGCCGTGGAACCGTTTGGCACGTCATGCCATGAACATGAGCGATCGTAATAATTGTTCTCCGCAAGGGCGCGGCCGACGAGGTGGGCCACGTGTTCCAGGATGCACTGCTGATGCCATCTGAGACATACGTGCAGGCAGGGAGCAGACATGATGACTAAGCACATTGTCGGTGCACGAGTGACCGACCATGTACGAATCAGGACATCTTGAGACTTATGTGTTAGGCTTGCAACGGCATCTTGCAGAAAGGGCTGTGCAGATGCGAGCAGGATCTGAATTGATGGGGCGAGGTACAGGTGCCTGCGAATGGGCTATACTATAATAGGGATCCACTACGCCGCCTCCAGGAGTGGACGGCAAACCTCACGGCAGGTGCATCAGCGCGCGGCTCAGTGCGACGCCATGGCCAAGCGAGGGGAGTGTCTCTCGCGCCACTTCCCTCCTCCCCAGACCTTCATGCGTTGTGAAAGAATCACGACGGATCGTTCATGGCGATGTTCTGCCTTTTTTGGCCTTCACTGGGCCCCGGGACCGTCAGCAAATGATTTGGGATGCAGCATCTGTCCCAGGGAACGTCCAGATTGCCGTGCGCCCGCGTTGTCACAAAAACCAAGTGTTTGGGTCTTCTTGCACCTACCTACCCTTCACCTGATGGGGGGCGGTGCAGCTTGCCCGCGCCCCCCGACGAACACGGAGAGAGAGATGCAGTGTTCGTTGCGCAAGCGGCCTTCGCAAGGGCACACAACAAGATGCCCGGGGGCGCATGTGGCAGGCCATGGGTAGCGAGGCATGCCCGTGTCAGATGACGCTCGTCTCTCGGGCATGCACTCTTAGCCTAAACTTCTCCGGGGCTGGCAGGCTGAAGACAAGGTGAACGGCAGTGTAGATGTGTGTTCAGGAGCTGTGTCGAGCAGTGGTATCGCATGCAAGCATTCTCGGTCGCGCAGTAGTGTGTCTAAAGTCCAATGACACCCTCACCCTTCCCCAGTCGTCGGTGGTCTCGGGTGCAGGTCGGGTTTGAGATGGCTATAACACCGTCGTTTGCGCATTGACTTCTGCACGTCAAGCGTGGGTCCGTAGTAGCCTGGGAAGCCCCCCCCTTTCTCCAAGGGAGGGGGGAAGTAGCTGGAAGCTGGCCTCGGGATGCGTCCCAGCAGTTGCGCCTCGCCGTGGGTGTTCCAGGGCTGCCCAGACCGTCCCGTCTCGATGCTGATGTTGATGTTGTTGACGATGATGCTGATGATGCTGCTGATGATGATGGTGTTGATGCTGATGATGATGATGATGATGATGATGATGATGATGATGGTGATGGTGATGGTGATGATGATGATGATGATGATGATGATGATGATGATGATGATGATGATCCCACCCCGACCCGCCCGGAAGGGCCGGGCGCCGGGCGGCGCGATCCCTCCGAGGCCTTCGGCGCGGCGTGGTCCGCGGACCTCAAGGGGCTCGGCCCCCTCGAGATGCGGAAGGCGGGCCGGGGCGCCGCCGCGGGACAGGCACAATCAGATGATCCTCATGACGTGTGTGAGCCCAAACGTGCGTGTTCGAGGAATGAGAAAACTTATCCTGGCGAAGGACCCAGCCATTTGCAGTTGTGAGTAACGCGTTGAGGGGGCCGCTTTCGGTGGAGCTCCCTATGGGGCCACGAAACGCTGTGTAATGGGTGGGGGAGACGCATGCGGGCGGTGCCATTGGGGCCTTCGGTGGGGCTCCCTATAGGCCACGAATGGCTGTACTGGGTGTGGCTGACGCATGTGGCCGCCCCCATTGGAGCCGCAGGTGGAGCTCCCTATGGGGCCACGAAACGCTGTACTGGGTGTGGCGGACGCATGTGGCCACCCCCACTGGGCCCCTAGGTGGAACTCCTTATGGGGCCACGAAACGCGATACTGAATGTGGCGAAGGCATGTGGGCTTCCCCCACTGGGGCCGCAGATGGAGCTCCCTATGGGGCCACGAAACGCTGCCGTAGCCATTTTGGCTCAAGGCCATGGCACCCTCCCGTTGGGTGCAAGTCTCGACGAGGCGCTCTGAGCACCAAGGGAGGTGCTTGGCAGAGCCAAAATCTTGTGAACAAGCGTTCGGTGTTCAGGTGTCGCGGCGCAGGGCGGCGCGGCTGCCATGGGCAATCCAAACAGGCGCGCACAGGCCGGAGGTGACGGGGAGGCGGGCACGTGGTCATGCGGAGTCTGCTTCACCAAGGGCTTGTGCGGGGCGCGCCTGCAGTGCACGACCTGTGGCACCTGGGCGTCTCCTGGAGTGCGTGCGCGGCTGGAGCGGGAGGCCAAGCGGCGCAAGCTGGACCGGGAGAACCAGGGCAAGGGCGGCAGGAGCGGCAGGGAGGGAAGCGGCAAGGCGGGCGGCAAGGGCGACAGGGTCCCCCCGCCTCCGCCGTGGGCTCCCTGGTCTTGGCCCGCTCCGGGGGAGGCAGGCGGCTGGCCCAGCTATTGGGCACCGCCCCAGCCGCCCACGCTCGGAGGATGGCTGGACGCGGCCGCCCGGCAGCACAGCACCGGCAAGGACAACAAGGACGGCAAGGGCGACACGGTGTTGGCGGCCATTGATGCTCAGATCCGTTCATTGGAGGGCCTCCTCAAGGCCGACGGCGACAACGAGGACCTCGCGAAGGCCCTCGCCGGCGCCAAGGCCAAGAGGGAGCAGCACCTGGCTGCTAAGCGGGCCGCCCGTCCAAAGGGCATCCAGCTACAGCAGCTGGACGACAAGATCACGGGGGTCAGCAAGCGGATCGCGGCGATCCAGGAGACGGAGCTTGTCAAGCTCAAGGAGCAGCGTCAGAAGGCGTTGGAGGACTTCGACCAGCAGATCGCGAAGCGGCAGGAGGAGCTGGAGCAGTGCGAGGCCCAGCGCACCTCCTTCCAGGCGGAGCGGGTCAAGCTCGCCAAGGAGGTTCAGGACGAGGGTGGCCCCGCCGTCGCCGCCCCCCACTTCGGACCGCAAGTGGTGGCCGATCTTACGCAATTCCTCGACCAGCTGCCCACCGTGCTCGCGAGCATGCAGGGCTCCGCGGAGGTGCAGCAGCGCGTCCAGGCCGACATCGACGGTCTGCGGGCGCAGTTGCGCCAGCAAGCTGGAGCAGCAGCTGCGGCTCCCGCTGGTCCTGCGGATGATGGTAACGGCGGTCAGCCTGCTGGCCATGTTGGCCCCGTCGGCGCAGGCAGCGAAGGTGCCGGAAGCGAGCGCGTCCCCGTTCCACATCCAGAGGCGGACGACATCAACATGCAGCAGGAGTGGGCCAACAGTGCCGACGTGGACGAGGCCGAGCGCATCAAGCGGAAGGAGCAGCTCGCCGGCTTGCAGGCTTACGCCGCCTGGAAGCGACAGCGGAAGGAGGGCCAGCCGCCTGCCGCTGCCGCCGGCGCCGCCCCGGCCGCAGCAGGCGCTCACACGACGGGCGGGTAGTAGCTCAGGAGGTCCTCCGCCCCGCAGGTGCAGATTCCGATCCAGGGCCCATGGGCAGAGCCTGCTCCAGCTGCACCTGCACAACAGCAGCCTGTCGTGGCGGCGCCTGGAGGATTTCCTCCAGGACCAGGGCGCGAAGGCAGTGCAGGAGGGCCGACTGCCCATCGTGTTGGGTCAAGAGCATGGCAAGGCGGCGCCATGGTTTGCTGACGCCGCTGCTGGGATAGCAGCCAAGGGCTGGCGCGTGCTGGGCGCCCCGGCCAAGCCCACGGAGGGCGGCAGCAGCGCGGGCGTGTCCATCGCCCTGCCCACATGCTTGACCGCGTCCTTCGCGCCAGGCCAGACGAGCTGGGACATCAGCCCTCCAGGAGGCGAGGGCAGATTGGCGATGGCCGTTGTCACCATCCCGGGCCTGGGCGCGATGGCCATCTTCAGCGTCTACATGGTGACGTGCATGAAGCTGGACGCCGCCGTGAATGCGCAGATCTTGGACGTCATCGCCGAGTGGGTCATCCAGCTACGGATCCCGTGGGTGGTTGGCGGTGATTGGAACAACCGTCCAGATGACTTGGAGCGCAGCCCATGGAACCAGGAGCTGCGAGGCTGCATCAAGGCCACTGCCCACCCGGAGGGCGCCTGCAAGAACAGCCAGGGCGACCACAGCACCATCGACTTTTTCTGGCTAGATTGCAAGCTCGGGCAGGCCTTTGGGGAGGTCACTCCGCACGTGGAGATGCCGTTCAGGCCGCACCGGCCGTGCGTGATGCAGTCCACAGCGCCCTGGAAGGCGTTCATCGTGAAGCAGCTGGAGGAGCCATGGCAGTGGCCCCTCAAGCGACCAGGCACGAAGGAGGAGCAGGCAGAGGTGCAGCACCCACCTGTCCCGCCGCTCACGGGCACGCCGTCGAAAGACGGCCTGGACGCAGCGTGGTCGGTCTTCTGCGACACCGCCGACAGCCAGCTCCAGACCATTTTCGGCATGTCGGACCTCCGGGCCTCGAAGTATAAGGGTCGAGGGCAGGCGCCACGCTTGGTTGAGAAGGAGCTCCTTCCAAAGTGCCCGAGCGCGGTCAACAGCAGAGGCCCCGCATGGGCATGGCGGTGGCTGTCGGTGGAGCTCTCGTGGATTGGCGTGGCGGCCATCCACGTCGTGAGGCGGGGCCTGCCTGCCGGGTCCCCGCCAGTGCTGGAAAGACGGAGCGGCGATGAGGCAGACGGCAGCGTCCAGGTCAAGCAGTACCAGGCGGCGGTCGTCAGGTTGCAGGCGTCTGTGCAGCATTGGGCACTCATGGACGGGATTGGCCACCACCTCAAGACATTGATTATGGGCCTATTGGAGGTGCCCCTCACGGTGGACGTCATCCGCGTGTTGGAGGGCATCAAGGAGGCGGCGAAGGCACGTGCGCAGGAGTGGGAGGTGGCCGTCATGAGGGATAGGAGCCGCAAGTTCCGTGAGAAGCTCGACGAGAAATATCCGGGCTCGGCGGGCCTGCTGCACAAGGTCTGCGCGTGGCGTGCTGCGTGGCTCCCACCGCGGGGCTCCGTCAGCAAGGCTGCTCTCCCTGCTCACCCCCAGCAGGCGGTCGAGCAGGAGGCAAAGGAGTGGGGTGCCGTGTGGCAGGCGGAGCAGGGCCCGTACGCCAAGCTCTGGGTGGGCCAGGGCCGCAGCCTCGGCACCATCGACACCGCGCGGCTGCGCAAGATCTGCAGGGCTTACAAGGAGCGCGCGGGCGTCATCGGCTGGCACCCGAGACACTGGAGCTGGCTTAGCGACGACCTGCTCGAGTACTTGGGCGTGATGTTGGAGTGGTGCGAGCAGCTGCGCGCATGGCCCACAAGCATTCGGCTCTTGGTGATCTTCATCTTGGGCAAGACGGACGGGGGGGGAAGGCCGATCTGCCTGTTGCCCACGCCCGTCCGCATCTGGGAGGGCAGCCGCGCCCACATCCTCGAGGCTTGGGAGGCGGAGAACAGCAGGGACTACGACTGGGCGGCCCCAGGGAAGAGCAGCGAGCAGGCGGTCTGGCGCGTCATGCTGGACGACGAGGCCTGGGGGGATAGCGGCTTCTGCTCGACCAGCGTCATGCTGGACGTCACGAAGGCGTACGAGCACGTGTCCCTCAACCTGCTGTGGGTCTTTGCCATCATCATGCGGTGCCCTCTCGACCTCGTCGGCCTCGCGCTGGAGGCCTTTTCGGCCCCGCGCTACCTGCGACGGGAGGGAGCAATGGCGGACGCCGTCACCACCTTGGTTGGCTTGCCGGCAGGATCGAAGTATTCGAATAAATTGCTGAAGGTGTTCATGTTCTGGGCCTTGGACCTGGTACTTAAGGGGTGCCCCTTAGCGCAGCTCATCCTGTACGTGGACGACATCACGCTGCGGTTGATGCACTCCGCACCGCGCCTCAGGCGTGAGGTGATGCGAACTCTGCGCTTCCTCATCGTGCTCCTGGAGCAGGCTTTGGGGCTTCCGCTAGCGCGGGGTCCCGAGGGCAAGTGCGTCTTCGTCGCCAGCACCGAAGAGGCCAGGGGCCTGCTGCAGGCACCGATGCTGGAGCTCGGCATCAAGGAGGGCAGCGTGGAGCGATGGCTGGGCATTGACTACAACCCGCAGCAGAATCACAAGAGCAGGCCCACCAGGCAGAAGCGGCTGGCAACCGCGAGGCACAGGTGGAGGAAGGCCGCGTGGCTCCGGCGAAGGGGCATCAAGGTGCGCAGGTTCGTGTCCCAGGGGGTCGCCCCCTCCTTGGCCTACGGGGCTACGTGCGAAGGCACCCCACCGCACATCCAGCACTTCCTGGCGGCCAAGCTCAATGCATCCAGGGCGGGGTCAGGCCCTTTCCGTTCGGCCACGATCAACGCGGCGCTGGAGGGCGACCTCGTGGCCGAGATGGTGGCAACAGCCCCACTCTTGGCTTGGGCGAAAGAGTGCTGGGACCACAAGAGCATGCACGGGGGCCTGCAGCGCGCGTGGGCACGGCAGCAACGACGTCTGGCCCCGTACCTGCAGGGCGATACCACCAGCAAGGAGCGGTGGGCGGCCGTGCGAGGGCCTGCGGCGGCCACCATTCTCACGTGCCGCGAGCTGGGCTGGCGGATGGTAGACTACCACACCATCGACACGAATCCGGGGGGCCCCGGGGACGACGGCAGCGCGCCAGGGGCCTCCGCGCCGCCAGGCAACTCGGCGGCCGTGGGCCTGCGACGGCCCGAGCTGTTGCCAGACGCACAAGGCGCCCGAGTCATCGACATGTTGCGCGAGTGTCCGAAGGAGGTGGCGGCGCGGGCTAAGGAGACCCTGAGCGGCGTCAAGCTCGACACCTGGGTGGCGAGCAGCGGGCGCGAGGTGCTCAGACCGAGGCCTTGGCTGGCGCCGCTCCGCCAGTTGCAGAAGAAGCAATTGGCGAAGGGTTGGACCAAGCACCACCGCAATGCGGCGAAGGTGGCAACGCTGGGCGGTTACCCGGAGCAGCGGGCCCTCTTCGCACAGGGCAGGGCGGAGAGCCCAGACTGCCCTCTGTGCGGGCAGGAGGAAGGCAGCAACATGCACCTCTACTGGCGGTGCGCGGCGCCCCAGTGCCAGGAGGCGAGGGCGAAGCTGTCAGACCACAATGACCCCGCCAACTTCCGCGACGTGGTGCACCTCGGCGCCTCCGCGAGGGACGAATGGCTGTGGACACGTGGACTCATGGCCGACCCAACTATCGGTGTCACCTGGAAGCTGCCAGCCGCCGAGCAGCACTGGGGGCGCATGGACGGCCCAGGGATATTCGACGGGAGAGTGGCTACAGATGGCTCGGTGGTCAATCCGAGCTGGGTCCGCCTTCGCGCGGGCGGTTGGGCGGTCGTGATGTTCGAGCGGGGCGAGCTCGCACAAGGCCTGTGGGGCCCCCTCCCCGTGCCGGCAACGAGCAGCCTCGTCGCGGAGCTGTGGGCGTTGGCAATGATGCTGCAGCACGCGGGTTTGGTGACCGAGGTGCTCTTAGACAACCAGGCGGCCGTTGACGGGCTGTTGTCGGGGCGTGCCCGCTGCTGCAACAGCGCGGCCCTCTGTGCGCACCTATGGACCTGGATCTGGGACCTGCTGGACGAGCGCGACCTCAGCCCTGGCGTCAGTCTGGCGGTGGCGAAGGTCAAGTCCCACACGTCCCAGAAGCATCGGGCGAAGATGGACGAGGTGGACCAGGAGCGCTACCGCATGAACGATGCGGTGGACAAGCTGGCGAAGCAAGGAGCCGCCCAGTGCCCGGTCCCCGAGTGGGCGGTGGCCCTGGCCAAATCCCGCAGCAGGCAGATCAAGCGGGTTATGGAGTACGTGGCAAGTTTTCGCGTGCTGTTGGCGGGGGTCGCCACAGCAGTGGCCGAGAGGAGGGGGCCGCGGCATCAGGGGAATGCTGGACGTCGCCCGCCAGTCCATCGTGGTCACGAGTTGGTCCTCCACGGGACGACGTGGCGTTGCCGCCACTGCAAGGCCCACTGCCGCACGCAGGCGGGCAAGCGGAAGCTGGACCGCGAGGAGTGCAGACCTGAGGCCGAGGTGGAGGCCGCGCGAGCAAATCGGCAGGCGCGGCGGCGCCGGCAGGGCGATCCGCCGCCTCCGAGGCGGGGCGCTGAGGGCGACGGCGGCGGTGACGGCGGCGAAGGCTCGCCCCGCCCTGGGCGCCCCGACGTGTCGCGGCCGCCCCCCGCCCCTACGCGCGAGCACCGCTGGGTGACGGCCGGCGACTTCGTGGTGTGCCGCGTGTGCGGGGCGTTCTACAGGTGCCGAGCTCGACGGGCCCTGGATGGCTGCACAGGCAAGCTCACCAACGCCCCGAGGGACCAGGCGCGGCGCCGACGCCGAGACCGATTGCTGGATGGGCGCAACCCCTACACGGGCGTTGCGATGGGCGGCGAGGTCGTGGAGGGTCGCGCCCGCGACGCCTGAGAGGCCCGGTGAGGGGGCACCGAGGCCGGTTTTCCTGTGGGTCAGGCCTTCGGGAATGGGGCCTGCCCAGCCCTTGTGCGCAGGGGCCCGCGCGCAGGCGCAGGCGAGCCGTGGCGGGGCGCTGACGCCCCACGGCCGATGGAGGAAGGAAAAAAAAAAGGGCCACGAAACGCTGTACTGGGTGTGGCGAACGCCACCCTCATTGGGGCCGTAGGTAGAACTCTCCATGGGGCCACGAAACGCTGTACTGGATGTGGCGGACGCATGTGGCCACCCCACTGGGGCCTCTAGGTGGAGCTCCCTATGGGGCCACGAAGCGCTGAATTGGGTGGTCTGGACGCATGTGGCCACACTCATTAGGGCCTTAGGCGGACCTCTCCATGGGGCCACGAAACGATGTACTGGATGTGGCAGACGCATGTGGCCACCCCCACTGGGGCCTTCGGTGGAGCTCCTTATGTGGCAACGAAACATGTGAGTGGCGATGATAGTGGCGATGATGCTGATGATGGGGAGAGGGAGGGGGGGTAGCGGGAGGGAGGAGACGCGGGGACCGTCTCTCTTAAACGAGGACCCAACACCACAGGATGGTTGGGGAAAACAAGCGTAAACATCAATGGTTGGCGTTCCGCGCGGATATCTTGGATCCGCAATTGGGTCTTCTGGCGGCGCCTCCAGCGCCGCCCCTGGCGCGCGGAGCAAATCCAAGAAGATCGTTATGTTTATGATTCTCAGGACGTGTGTTACAGTCGGCCCGCATAGTAAGGATGGGCAACCTTCCCAAGGGCACCCTTGCGTCCTTGCCTCCTCGGCCCATCCTTGGCCACTTTCGCTGGCCCAGCCCCGCTCGAAAAGCTCCGAAATGGGCAACCAAGGCCCTCGCGTCCTTATCGCGCATCCTTCTGATACGGGCCGGCTGTAGCCCAAGCGCGTGTTTGCTCCGTTCGGTTCCGCCAGTAACGCGCGCAGCCCGTGCCGGCCCCCGGTGCGCCGCCCACGTCGTGTTGAAGGTCCTCGGCGGACGGACACGGTGGCGCTGACGAACGTCCTGAGGATCCTTGCACACGCACGGTCCTTCGGGGCGATCGACGTGGGCACAAAGACCGACAGCAATCCTTTCACCGCCATGAGCAGGAGCCGATTAGACGTAAGAGTGACCTTTCGCCCGAGTGACCCTTGGTGCGGGCACAGATGCGCCCTCAGATGGCTGAAAACGAAACGGTAGCAGCGGCTTGCGCGCCCAGGTTTGGTCTCCCCGCGGCCCCCAAAAAGCCGCGCACCAAAGGTCACTCTTACCCAGGGTCACTCTTGCGTGTAGCCGAAGGAGTCGTTGTCGGCGTCGCCGTGGACCTCTCGCGCATTCGAGGCAGGAGGCCGCCTGCCCCGCAGCGGCCGCGGTGTCGGTTTTGTTTTGGGCAGCGGCTGCTGCTGCTCGGCCTCGTGCCCCCCTGTTCCGTACCCGCTGCGGGCGGCCAGAGTCCCTGGTAGGGGGCAATCGAGGGATAGAGAATTGCATCAACATGACGCCGAGTTCGAGTCAGAACTCGGACTTCGAATTCGGGCCCGAACTATCGATCGAGCAAATGTACCTCATAGTTGCTCGGTGCTGAGTTCGGGCCCGAACTAGAACTGTCAGTTCGAGTTCGGGCACAAACTAGCGAACAAACAACTATATGTTTTTTTTAAGCCCATAGTTTGGGTTCGGCCTCGAACTCTCGAACGAACAACTCACGGAAGAGTTGTTCAGTGTCTCGGAGTTTCGCGCGAATTTCTCAACGCAGCGCTCCGCGCGCCAGGGAGGGGGGTCCCGCGCAGATGCAAGACATGCGGACCGTCGACAGTGTGTGTGTGTGTGTTCGTATGTGTGTGGGTGTCTATGTGTGTGTGCGTGTTTGCGAGTGTGTGTGTGTGTGTGTGCGTGTCTGTGTGCGTTTGTGTGCGTGTGTGTGTGTGTGCGTATGTGTGCATGTGTGTGCGTGTGTGTGTGTGTGCGTGTGTGTGTGTGTGCGTATGTGTGTACGTGTGTGTGCGCGTGTGTGCGTGCGTGTGTGCGTGTGTGCGCGTGTGTGTGTGTGTGGTTCTGTGTGTGTGCGTGTGTGTGTGTGTGTGTGCGTGTGTGTGCGTGTGTGTGTGTGTGTGTGTGCAGTCTCTTCTTTCTTTCATCCATAGTCTTTGCAGGGCGCCTGCGCATGCCCAGGCTCGCCCTTCGACTCAACGCTTGCCCCCACGTGCCTTTTCATGCCTTTCCTCCCTCCTCCTCCCTTCTCCTCCCGCCTTATCTTCCTTGCCCGTCCTACCCGAGCGCGTCCATAGTCCTCGCAGGGGGCATGCGCATGTCGAGCTCGTGCCTCGACTCGGGAATCGCCCCAGCGCGCCCTTCTCTGCCTGACCTCGCCTGCTCCTTCCTCCTCCTTGCCCTCCCTTTCCTCCCTCAACAGGGCAAGGCGATCTCCGCTGTTGCTTGCCCAGTGTGCAGGTCCTGTTGCATGGAGCGTCGGTCGGGGGATGACCACGGCGGCCCTCGAGTACCTCGAGACCAAGTGTCACCCGCGCGCAGGGGTCCTCCTGAGCGGTGACGCCCATCTCGGCTAAGGGGGGTGCCGCGCTCTCCTTCTTGAACTCGTGGCTCCCTCGTTTTTTCGGCGGAGCTCCTCCGTCGTCCGATTTGCCTCCAGGACCCCGTTTCTTCCATCGCGGCCCTCGAAAGTCTCGGACCAAACGAAGGGGGGGGGGATAGGGAAAGGGAGGGGCTACGAAATCTGCTGCATGCAGCTGGTTTCGGCCCCGCCGCAGGCCCTTTCCTCGACACACGGGCGCCTCCGGCGCCGGGAGGCGCCAGGGAAATCACCTACGCGAGCTGATTCTCCAAGCCCCCCTAAACAACAGTCGGCTCCGATTAGTGGGCTGGCCCTGGCAAAGCAAGGGTACCCCTTGTGTTCTGCGTCTCGCGACCCTTGCCTATCGTATGCCTATGGCGATGTGGCTCTCGGAGTGGTCTTGTGTAGGGGAACAAAAAGTGGCATAAACATAACAACTCGGAGGTCCGCGCGGATTTCTCGGATCGGCGCTGGGGCCCCCCAGCGGCGCCTCCGGCGCCGTCCCTGGCGCGCTCCGCGCGCCAGGGAGGGGGGGGTCCAGCGCGGATCCGAGAAATCCGCGCGGACCTCCGAGTTTTTATGTTTCTGTCACGTTTTGTTCCCCTACTGTGTCCTCTCGCGTGTCCTGCCCAATCAAGACCGACCGTATCCCCCGCCCCCCCCTCCCCCCGGGACGTCTCCAGGGGTGCGCACTGGCCAGGGCTGCTGCAGGGCGGAGCGGGCCGAGGCGACAGGGAGCCGCCCAGGGCTCGAAGGAAACGTACGCGGCACGTGGTCGAATACGGCCATCCTCGACCGTGCTTCCGTCTCCTCCTCCTGCACTGTCGTCCTATGTGTTGTGTTGTTATTCCCCCTGTTCTTCCTCATCGTTATCATCCTCCAGAGTCATCATCACCTCCAGCATTATCATCATCATCATCATCATCATCAGCAGCAGCATCATCATCATCATCATCATCATCATCATCAGCATCAGCATCATCATCATCATCATCATAATCATCATCATCATCACCATCATCATAATCATTATCGTAATCATAATATGATCATCATCACCATCATCATCATCATCATCATCATCATCATCGCCATCGTCATCCTTATCGTCATCGTCATCATCACCACCATCACCACCATCAGCATCAGCAACAGCATCATCGTCATCATCATCATCGTCTTCATCGTCATTATCGACATCATGATCAGCAGCGTCATCAGCATCATCATCAGCACCAGCATCATCATCATCATCATCATCATCATCATAATCATCATCATCATCATCATCATCAACTTCATCATCAATGTTATAGCAGAAGATAGCCATCCTGGATCCTTCTCCCCTCTCCTTCTCCTCCTGAGTTGTCGTCCTACTTTCACCGGTTTCCTTTTGTTCCTCTTCCTCCACCTCAGGGCCCTCGAGGGCGCCATTGCGCTCATGGAAGTGCTCCCTGGCGTGGCGGCCGGGCCTCTGTAGCAGAAGTGATGCCTCGGGCTCGTGTGTGCCGCCGTGATTCGTGTACCCGCCCGTGGAGTTGAGGTTGGTGCGCGCTGCTGTGCACGGCCACACGTCCGTGGAGCCCATCATCACATGTTAGTTCTTTGTGAGCATGGGCTGTGTGGGATCCCCTGGCGCACCTACTCTTGTGCAGTGCCTGCTGCGCCGAGCGCGGCGCCTTTCATGCTCGTGGCGCCAGGCGGGTCCGAGGATCACGAGTGCTTGCGACGAGCGCTGTGATGTGTCAGGAATGTAGACGCTCCGCTCGGGGCGCCAGGCGGGGTCAAGGATCACGAATGCTTGCATCGAGCGAGCAAGTGCCTTTGGGCGCTGGCGCGTATTCCTTCCAGATGTGAGTCTGAGCAGTACAGCCCGAGGCTGGGGGCTTCAGGCACGCCGTGGCGACTGGCCAGGGCGGGTATGCTTGGCGTGCCCCGCCTGCGCTGTGCTATCCTCGCGTGTGCCCTGTGTCGCTGCGCGCGTGGCGCCCAGGCATGCGGTCGGGTTTAGCCAGCTGCCAAGGTTTCTCTCCAGACTGTCCTTGGTGCACTGGATCATCACCATCACCACCATCATCATCGTTCTCATCATCTCCATCACCATGTTCCACATGATGGAAGACATCCTCATCCCCTCTCCTTCTCCTCCTGAGTTGTAGTTCTACTCCCTCCGCTCATCCACCGGGTGGGTGATTCGATAGCGCGGACAATGTCGAGCGATCGCTCCGGTGTCCCCGACACCCTTGTCTCAGCCAGCGTTGGCAGAGTGCACAACAGAAGCCATGAGGAGTAAAGTAAGGCAAGGGGGACAATCCACGAAAGATACCGATGCACCTTGGGGGAAAAGGCTTCCTCCTGTTCATAGTCATTACCATCACCATCATCAGCATCATCATCACAATCATCATCATCATCATCATCAGCATCATCAACATCATCATCATCATCATCATCAACATCATTATCATCATCATCATCATCACCATCATCCCGTGCACGAGCGCCATGAGCTGCTCTTCTGAAGTGTTGCCAACCTGACCTATCTCCTTGCTCCGCTTCCCTCCTCTCCTGCTTTTTTTCCTCGTCGACCGACCCATTGGTTCCCCGCCACCGCGTCCTGGGCCGCCTGCCCTTCCCGTTCGTCCTACTGGCGTTCCTTTTGCTGCTGGTGCTCATCCTCTTGCTGCTTCAACGCATGATCACCATCATCATCCCCATCACCATCGTCATCCTCGTCATAATCACAATCACCTTCATCATCAACATCATCATCACCATCATCATAGAATAGTTATTCCTGTTACTCCTCCCCTGCTCATCCTCCACTTCCGCATTCTCGTCGAACCGTGCACACTTGGTGTTCTGATTGCGCATCCCATGCTGGGGACAGTCCGAACATCCAGGCCCGCCAGCGGCGGACGGCACGACAAACCGGCGCAGTGGAAAGGGGATGGGTCGGATGGGCGGTCGGTCAGGTGGCGCGCGAGCGCCTGCCCAAAACTCGGCCGTCGAGGTCCGCTTCGCTCTGCAGACCCCAAGAGGTCTTGGCCACTTCCTCTTGGGCCGCGTGCCTACAGTGCCGTTTATAATGCATTCTCCGCGTGCGGATCATGTATTCGAAATGCATGGTTTAGTATTAAAAACAACGATGAGTTCAGGCATAAATTTATTCATACATTAATCATGTATTAAAGTTCTTTTTTAAAAAAAACCTATGTATTAAAAACTGCCCTGTATCCCGATCCCGATGTCTGATAGCCCTGGGGCCAGGCGAGGGCCCCCCGAGGCCGAAGATGGCCCCAGAACCTTCCGTCGCGACTGCTCCGCAGCGCGAGGAGGTCCAGGTACAGTGCCGTTTTTGATGCATGCTCCGCGTGCGGATCATGTATTAAAAATGCAGGGGTTTAGTATGCAAAACAACGATGAGTTCATGCATACATTCATTCGTAAGATAATCATGTTTTAAAATCCAATATGTTTGAACATCCCATGTATTAGAAATTGCCCGGTAGCTTGTCATCCCCGCCTGCTCCTCTTTGGGGTGCAGAGCAGTATCAACGACACACACACCGCCGTGTGGATCCCATCAACACGTTGTTGATGGAAAAAGACCATGCTCTCGGACAGAAGCAGGAGAGTATCTCACTTACGGGCACCTACCGGCTGCGCGTTCTTGGTGCGCATTCGTGCTCCTGCCCCCCCACGTCTGAGAAGGGCTCGGAGCCTTCCCAGAGACAGACTCCCGAGGCAGGGGGGCTCTTATTAAGAAGCCCGGAGGGCGTACGAGAACCCCTCCCCCTGATGCTATGTACCGAAACATGCGATGCCCTGATTTTTTGATTCACCAGTTTGAGACAGTGCCGATCTGAGGGACCCCCCAGCTTCTGAGTGCACAGACCTAACATTGTCTTCGTCTTGGGCTTGTCGGCCTCAGGTGATTGTTCTAATAGTGGCGGAGAGGGACCCCAGGATAATCTCACATGGGGTGACGGGGATCCCTGAACCGCCCAGTCCAGCAGCCGTTTCGCCCGAGGAGTCTCGAGATGCTGGTTCAGGAATCGTGCACTCGCCTCAATGCCGGCAACTGTGTTAGTCCCACGGCCACGATTTTCATAACACTGTAGACGCGCTAACAGGGTGCTAGCTAACGGCGAAGGAGGAAAACCAATTGTAGGAAGGCGTGGTTCGTGGCCAAACCAATTGCAGGACCGCGTGGTTCGTGTTTTCCTAACTCGCTGGGTCGTTTTCGTTCGATGCAGTCGCACACTTGAAATGTAGGAAACGGCGTTTCGTGATGTCCTACATGTTGTTTTGCGTGAGCTCGGTGTCACACATGAACAAGATTCCCAACCGCACCGTTAACCGAGCACGCCGTCAGCGCGGCCTTTGGTAACAATCTTATGAGGTGCACATGGCCGTGCTCTCATTCCTGCCCTGGCGGCATGCTTCCGAGGAGTACCTCGTGATTGCACCTTCTCGCAAGCCGACCCCCCGTTCCTCGACCCGCATGTTCACCTTTGCTGCCGTGAGCGGGTTCTGCTGCGGCATGTGTTCCAATGCGCGAGCCCTTGGAAGGCCCGACCCCCCCTTTTTGTCCAGGGCTCTGTTTTCGTCCCAGGCCGTTCCTTGACAGTCCCGGGGCCCGGCGAGGGCCCTCGGATGCCGAAAACGGCAAGTTTGTCGACGCTGAGCCGTCCTCGTTTAGGGGAACAAGAAGTGGCGTAAACATAAAAACTCGGAGGTCCGCGCGGATTTCTCGGATCGGCGCTGGACCCCCCTCCCTGGCGCGCGGAGCGTGCCAGGGGCGGCACCGGAGGCGCCGCCGCGGGGCCCCAGCGCCGATCCGAGAAATCCGCGCGGACCTCAGAGTTTTTATGTTTATGCCACTTTTTGTTCCCCTAGAGCCGTCCTTGTTATTTCCCATTTCCTCCTCACCCCTTACACCTCCGTCCTCACTCCCCGGGGCCTCGCTCCCCCAGGCCGGCGTCGTCATCAACAACATGAAGGCGCATCGGTGCGCCCGATGCGCCGTCTCGCTGGGGCCGTGATTACGGGCCGCCGCGGGGAGTCGAAGGGGACGGTGTTGCGTAAAGACTGGAATCTCTGAATCGGCAGCGAGCGAGTGCGGGGAATGGGCGGGCCTTCTCAGAAGGCTCGGAAGTCCCCCGGCCTGCCGAGAAGTGTTCTAAGCCTTCCCCGAAGACACAGAGAACCTTTCAGAAGGCCCGAGGGCTCCCGAGAAGTCCCGCCGCTTTCTTAGAAGGCCGTCTCCTTCTCACCTCCCCCCTAGCCCGCCGCCGACTAAACACCCGCGCGGATCTCTCGGAGCTCTGTTCGATGATCCTCAGGACGTGTGTTCGCCCAGTGTGTGTGTGTGTATGTGTGTGTTTGTGTGTGCGTGTGTGTGTGAATGTTGTGTGTGTGTGTGTGTGCGTGTGTGTGTGTGTGAATGTTGTGTGTGTGTGTGTGCGTGTGTGTGTGTGTGTGTGTGTGTGAATGTGTGTGTTACCCCGCTGAGCGCCACTGACGCGCAGACTGCGGCGGCCCTCATTGCACCGCCGGCTTCGTATGGTTGGAGGGCTTCGGTGGGCAAAACACGCGATGGTGCGAACTCAGGAGGGAAAGAAACACACAGACACAATTAATCGGCGATCCCCCAGAAAATATGCGAAAATATGGGAAGTGGGGGGGAAGACGAAAGCCAAGAAAATATGGGAAAATACAGGGAATCGTTTTATGTGTGTGTGTCTTTATTTGTGTGTTTGTGGGCCCCTTCAAAAACACGCGATGGTGCGAACACACGTTCTGATCGAAGAACAACAAATGCATAAACAGAATTCCTAGGAGGTCCGCGCGGACTTCTTGGATCAGCTTTGCGCCCCCCTGGCAGTCGCCTCCACAACCGCCCCTGGCGCGCTCCTGCGCCGCGGAGTGGGGGGGTCCAACGCAGATCCAGGGGAAGTCTGGGCGGAGTTGTGCTTCTACGTGCGGCGCACCGGTCCTCAGGGAAATGCGTCCTGAGGTTCCCGCCGTCATCTGCCGTCAGGGGCCATCCCCAGGCCTCGGGTCCTTGCGCCAACATCGCAGAGCGGATTTCGTTCGGAAAACAATCGGATGAGCCCGGAGTGTCCTGGAGAATTTCGATCCGGAGTTCACAGTGAATTTCGTACGGATTCATTTGGCCAGGAATGAAGACCAAACAAAAATCCACGCGAAATTAACTTCGTTTTTCGCTCGCCGCTTCGGAACAAAATCCACGCAGGAGTCCATGCAAAAATTCGCTGCAGCACGTCTGCAAGGCCGGTGCAATGACTCAGGGCTGCTTAGATGGGGTCGTAGTAGATGGTGTCGGAGGATCGCGCCGCATCGCCGATGCATCGGCGATGCATCGGCGATGCGGCTCGATGCTGAGCCCGATTTTCTCCACGCCTACGTCGCCGATGCGTCGCCGACGTCGCCAGTGCATCGCCGATACGTCGGCGATGCATTGGCGATGCGGTGCGACCCTTCGACCCCATCTGCTCGGACCCCATCTGGGAGGCCTCCATTGACTCGGGGCCGCCAACAAGAAGATTCTCAGGAGGAGAAAAAACACACAGACACAAGTAATCGTCGATTTCCAAGAAAATATGGGAAAGCATGGGCAGTGGGGGGGAAGACGAAAACCCCACAAATATAGGAAAATATGGGGAATAGTTTTATTTGTGTGTATTTACTTGTGTGTCCTGGGGCCCCTTCTGATTCGGTCGACCAGCCGGTAAAGGGGTTCAGCGCAAACGGGAGCAAGCCAGGGCTCCGGATCCTGCCGCTCGCGGCCTCGGAGGTCGCTCTGCAGTTGAGTCGGAGAGGAATATTCAAAAATCGTCAACAACAAGTCGGGGAACGATTTGTTTTACTATTTCGGGGCATTGTTGGAATACTTTTGTTAATACTTTTGTTGATTTTTCGTCCCAAACCCGCCCGTGGGGGGACATACCCGCCCTAACCCTACAGGGTGGCTGAGCCGTGTTAGTACACGCCCGATTTGGGATGACGAACTGGTCTTGGGGGTGGGCATTGGGGTCCAGGAGCCGTTTCCCTCAGGGCCCGGCTCTTTCATGCCGAGTTGGGAGGCCCTGGCGACACTCCCGCAGGCTTCGCGCGTCGCGCACAGCTGCATCATCCAGTCCGCACGTCCGTTCCGCAAGAAGATAATGGGTCGACGCTCGCGCGGCGATGCTCCGATGTAATCCGACGTCAAGCCGTCGTGAACCCGGCGCGCATTTGACGTGGATCCAACGTAAACCGGGACTCAAGTTGCCGCACGAGGCGTCCAGAGTGTTCCTTCAGGGAGGGAGGTTGAGCGGGGGAACTCGTCGGTCACGCGGCGGTCGGCTAGCGAGCGATGTTCGCACTCCCTCTCGGGATCCTCGCCCTCGAGCGAGCGCCGCGCCGTTCGTCGTTCGCGCGCCACGCCGCGGTGGGCTCGGCGGAGGCGGGGGTCCGAGAGGAGAGCAACGCGGCGGCGGTGGGACGCGGAGGAGGCGCGATGAGACGAGAGGGGTCGCGGAGCGACTCTGCATCTGATGAAGCCCTGGCAGCCCGCGCGAGGTCTCCCTCGAGGCGCCGAGGGCACTCTCTGGCCTCTGGCTCTGGGAGTGACGGGAGAACCTGGGCCCAGGGCCCATTGCGATGCGATCGATCCGGCTCGATGTCGGTGTTGGCCTGCCCGATCCGACTCGATGCGGACCGATGAGTGCCTGGCGCTGCCGTGCCTCCTTGGCACAACCGGTCCGGTTCGATTCCGATGCCGGTTCCGTGCCGAGGCGAAGTGATCCGATTTCCCGATGCGATGCTGGCGGATCCTGCCACGCCGTCTTTCGGGCCGGTGTGGGCCTCTTGGGAGACTTTCGTCGCCACCGCTGGATTCGCCTCGAATCAGCCTGCGCTCCGTGGAGGCTCCAGGGGAGAGGGTACGAGGAGGGGTAACTCCCTCCCCCGAGCAAGGGAAGGAGAGGTTTTGGAAGAGGGAGGACACGAACTCGTCATGCCACGTCCACCCAGAGGGCTGGTGGGCTTAGGAGTCTTCGTTCTCCCAACTCATTTGAAAGCAGTTCTGAACAATGCAGCGCGTTGCGTGGCATTGGCTTGGATTGCTTGGCAGTATTTGAGCTCGATGTGTGCCAGTGCTTGGCATTGCTCGGTATGGTGTTGCATTCCCTTGCGCTTCGTGGTGTTGCTGGGTACTGCATGCTATGGCATGGCAGTGTTTGGTGTTGTTTGACGTTGCTTGGCGTTGCTTGGGATTGCTTTTAATTGCCTGGCAGGGTTTGACATTGCTGTGGCATTTGCGTTGCAGCGCAGTGATTGTCGCTGCGTTTCGTTGCTTGGATGTTCTCGGCATTGCTTGGCATTGCTTGACTGATGAACACAGGGCAACGCAGGCAGGGAATGACCCCCCCATTCGCTAGTTGGTTCCGCAAGCAAGAAAGAAGTGTGTATCGACAACGCATGAGTGGGCAAAAGGGGAGCAAGACTAGGAGGAGAATGGCGTAGATGGATGAGAGGAGGGTGCGGGGAGGGGAGGGCGGAGGAGGACCCAAGACATCTGAGAGTCAGAATTTCGTGTGTGCGTGTGTGTGTGTTTGTGTGTGTGTAATTGTGTGTGTGTTGTGTGTGTGTATGTTTGTGTGTTTGTGTGCTTGTGTGTGTGCGTGTGTGCGTGTGTGCGTGCGTGCGTGCGTGCGTGCGTGTGCGCGTGTGTGTGTGTGCGTGTGTGCGTGTGTGTGTGTGTGTGTGTGTGTGTGTGTGTGTGTGTGTGTGTGTTAGTGTGTGTATGTGTGTGTGCGTGTGTGCGTGTGTGTGTGTGTGCGCGTGTGCGTGTGTGTGTGTGTGTGCTTGTGTGTGTGCTTGTGTGTGTGTGCGTGCTTGCGTGCGCGTGCGTGCGCGTGCGTGCGTGCGTCCGCGTGCGCGTGCGCGTGCGCGTGCGCGTGCGCGTGCGCGCGTGCGCGCGTGCGCGCGTGCGCGTGCGCGTGCGCGTGCGCGTGCGCGTGCGCGTGCGTGTGCGTGTGTGTGTGTGTGTGTGTGCGTGTGCGTGTGCGTGTGCGTGTGCATGTGTGCGTGTGCGTGTGCGTGTGCGTGTGCGTGTGCGTGTGCGTGTGCGTGTGCGTGTGCGTGCGTGTGCGGCGTGTGCGGGTGTGTGTGTGTGTGTGTTCGCTAGTTTTTCTCGCAGGGTACAGGCGCCGTCCTGGACCACGTCTGTTGCAGAGAGACGTCAGGTGGTCAGGGGCAGCGTAAGGGGCAACGTAGGGAGGGGAAAACGAGGTCAGGTCAGGGGCAACGCAGAGGGGGGGGGGCAGGCTCAGTGAGGGGGGTGCTTTCTCAGCGACAAGGGGGATAACATCCGGGGGGATCGGCTCCGGGAGGGGGGGGTCCTTAGGCTCAGGGGCGGAGGGGGGTAGGCTCAGCGACACCCGCTCGCCCACTCGTCGCCGAGGGGGGGGGGACCCGACCGCCCGCCCAGCCCAGGACCGTGCGGCGTCGCTATCGGGGGCCCGTCGCCAATCTACCGTAGCTGACCCCCATGAGGCAGTTCGGGAGCCTCGAGACGGGGGTCAATGCAAACGGGGGTCAGCCAGGGCACCGGATCCTGCAGGATCCTGCGAAGACCCCCTCTGGCTGACCCGGTGCCGCTCGTGGCCGCGAGGCGGCCGCGCATATTGGCTAACCCAGGTTTGCGAAGACCTGCGTTGCAGTTTTTTTTCCTGCATTGCAGTTTTTTGGTTTCCTGCTGACCCTGGTCTGGATTGACCCGGGTCAGAAGATCCCCGAGCAGTCCCCCCCCAGCCCAGACCGCCGACGTCTTGCTGTGTCCCTGCCTTCCTGCGTTGGGTTCCCGTGTTGAGTAGAGCATTGTTCAGGCGTCTCCTCCTTCCCCCCCCCCTCCTCCCTCCGTCCACCTCTTCGTGCATCTCGTGCGCCTTCCTGCACCTTGTGCGTCCTCTTGCGATCTGCGGCGGCTGCGAACTGCGCAAGTGGCGCCATTCGTGGGCTCATGGGAGGGACGAAGATGCACGCGCACCCAGCCGAGACTTCGCGGCTCCTTGGGGGGCTGTGAGTTGCGCAATTGCCGCCACCTTCGGAGGCTCCTGGGAGTTCCAGCGGAGGTGAGGGCAGCAATGATCATTTCGAGACCTCGCGGTTCCCTGGGAGGTTGCCAACTGCGAAATTGTCGCCACCTTCGTCGGCTTCTGCGAGGTCCAATGGAGAGTTGAGTTGTACGCGCACCCAGCCGAGACCTCTCCGCTCCCTGGGGGGTTGGGAATTGCGCCGTTGACGCCATTCTCATGGGCCCCTGGCAGGTCCAGCGGAGGTGGATTGTCTGTACGCGCACCCAGGCGAGATTTCGCGGCTCCTCGGGGGGCTGCGAATTGTCTGCGCAGTTGTCATCACGTTCGTGGGCTCCTGGGAGGTCCAGCGGAGGCGTTAGTCAGGCGTGACCTTGCGTCGCTGCCGATTGCGCAGTTGTCGCCACTTTCGTGGACCCCTGGGAGGTCCATCAGAGTGGAGTCGTACGCGCACCCAGCCGAGACCTCGCGGCTCCCTTGAGTGCTGCGAATTGCGCAATTGTAGTTTTTGTTCGTGGGCCCGTGGGAGGTCCAGCAGAGAGGAGGTGTAGACGCACCCAGACGAGACCTCGCGGCACCCTGGAGGTTGCTGCGAGCTGCGCAATTGTCGCCACCTTCGGAGGCTCTTGGGAGTTCCAGCGGAGGCGTTTGTCAGGCGAGGGCGCGCGGCTCCCTGGGAGGCTGCCGACTGCGCAATTGCTGACACTTTTCGTGGGCTCCTAGGAGGTCCAGCGGAGTGGATTGTCACGCAGATCCAGGAGGGACCTCGCGGCTCCCTGGGGGGCTGCCAATTAAGCATCTGTCGCCGTAGACAGATGGTCCACAGCGGTGGCCTATCGGACCCTCAGAAACATTAGCAATGGTAGTCTTTTTGCCTCCCTTGTGCACGCCGTGGAGAAGGAGGAACAGGAGGAGGAGGAGGAGTTCACGTGAATCATGGAACGTGAGAGCCACCCATGTAGTTGCCAAGACATGAACGTTACCGTTGGCATAAAGCGTGCCCACTGCTATGGCCATTTGTTGCAGATGGGTTGGGCACGCCTCGGGTAGTTTCGCAACGGGGACCCCCAGTGATCTGGACCCCGGGACAGGTCTTCCATCCCAGGTCGGTCTTTGCTTGCCTGGTTGCCCAGTGAGGACCCCGGAGGCCGCACGTAGGCCGAACATGGGAACAAGTCGGCGTCGAGAGCGGTTGTCGCCCCTGAGCCAGTGCCACCTGATCGATCCCCCTCGAGCCTTCAAGCACGGCGGTGTCCTGCCCGAGGCGGCCGGCTACAAGGAGGAGGAGGCGCACACGGTGTGCCGGGCGTTGTTCTGCGAGCAGGGCGAGGAGGACCTGAAGGCGCACACGCCCGGGGGAGGCGGGAGGCAGTCTTGCGCACAGGCAGCCCCCCAGGCAGTGCCAGCTGGCCTCAACAGGCCCCCCGAGTGGCCCTGGCTGGCTCCTCCTCCTCCTCCTCCTCCTCCTCCTCCTCCTCCTCCTCCTCCTCCTCCTCCTCCTCCTCCTCCTCAGGCTCTCAGGCCCCCCGAGCAATTTGTCCAGGGTGGTCTCAGCACTCTGGCGTTGGCCCCCGGCGACGCCCTGGGAGCGCTCCGCGCCCCCGGCGAAGGGGTGTTGGGATGAGTTGCAACAGATCGTGAACCTGTGAGCGTGGAGTCTTCGCGATTGGTGCAGTCAAGCCGCATAGTAAGGATGGGCAATTCTCCTAAGGTGCCCTTGCACCCTTGCCTCCTCGGTCAGTAGTTACTTGGCCACTTTAGTTGGCCGCGCGCCGCTCGAAAAGCTTCGAAATGGCCTTCCAAGGCTCTTGCATCCTTATCGTGCATCCTTGTGATACGGGTCGCCTGTATCGTGTCATTGGGAGCGCAGACTCGTTGTAACCCTTCGTCGTATACGAGGGGGCCCAGCATTGGGTGTCATTTTGGCGCCCTCGGATTTCTTCCTCCTACTATAAAGTCGGACCGAGGGAGGGTACACTTCAGCCTTTTCGGGGTCGAGATGTTCCGGCGTTTCCGCAGTTTCCTGGCGGCTTTCCACCTTCTGTCTGGACGCCCGAAATGGGTACGGAAAGAATGGGTACGATGCCCAACAGCAGTTCCTGTTCATTTTGGACAGGGCTCGCTGTCCGCGCTGCAGCGGCCTGTGTCCATTTGAGACAGAAGGCCGCCCGCCCAACAGCGGCCGCTGTTGGTTTGGGACAACATTTGTTGTTGGGCATTGTACCCATTTCGGGCGTCCAAATTCTGGATGCGTCCCAGCGGTTGCGCCTCGCCGAAACCATTCCGGGGGGTCCGGGACCGTCCCGAACGGCCACCGGAGACCCGAGTTAGGATCCGAGAAGCCGAATTCGGCGGCACGCCTGAGGTCGGTTCGGGGAGGTCGGGGGCGGAAAAGAGGGGGGTGATGACTAGGGGGGGGTGAATATCATGGCGGGGGCCATGATATCTCCCCAGATTTCATGGCGCCTCTTCTTATTTCAGTATGTCCCTGGCCCCCCCGCTGGGCCGCGCACATGCCGCCGGTCATGATTTGCACACCCCCCTCTTGGACACCCCCCTCTTGGCCGCTCCCGAGGAGGGCACCCTGACGCTCTTCGTTTTTGGTTCGATGTTATTGCGCATCCTGGGGAGGGTGTCCTTGACTGTTCTATGTGTGTTGGCCGGCGGACGGTCTTCTGTTCTTGACGGCTGTCTGTTATCTTGTCCCAGGTCTGATTCTTACGATCGTTTTTTTTTGTTTCTCTCTCTCTCTCTCTTGCTCCTCTTGCTCATCGTTCTCCTGCTGTCCCTCCTGCACCTCCCGCCTCGTTCCATCCTGCCTTCCTCCTCCCGCCCCCAGGCCGCCTTTGCGCTGTACGACAAGGATAGCAACGGCCACATCGACAAAGAGGCAATGCCTGCCAGCTGCGGTCTCTATTCTGCGAGTAGGGGCTCGACTACAGAGTTGAGCTACCGTAAGATGAATGCTTCTTTCGGGTACGCGAAGGAACCACGCAGGATGTTCCGCAGATTTACGGAACATGCTACGCATGTTTTGCAGACTCGGCGAAAGAGACAATTTGGAGTTAACCAGTTGTGTAGTCGATCTCCTCTTCGAATTCTGGTGGTCCTGGACGGCAATGTTCTAGGCGGTGGCGATAGGAAGGGGTAATCACGGAGGGGCCGAAGAAATTGCAAGACACGTAGTTTAGTGTGGCAGTTGAACAGGGACGATCTAGCGACAGATTGCGCCAGCCGGACATGTGCCACAATGCGTCGATGGCCCACGCAATGCGCCCGCAGGAGTTTAGAAAAGCGTTGCCCTTGATGGGCGAGGATATTAAAGAGGAGAAGATCGACGAGGTCATGGAAGGACAGCTTGCGTCTTCAACGCATCGCTTGCCATCGCATCGTCGTATGCTCATCGCATTCTTAAGATGTTCGCGGTACGTGTCCATGTCGGCAGCCGCCGCCGGCTCAGGAATTCAGTAGACGGGTTGGACAGCAGCAGCATCGTGCCGAACATCAGCCGATACACATTATTTCTATTTTAGGATGACATCCCGTGACCAGTGAAGCACAGTCAAGTCTGATTCACTCCTCTCACAAATATTTAGCAGCCTGGGGCTAATCCCGCCACCGTGCCAGCAAAGCATCGAAGTCCATTCGGCATGGTCCTGCTGGGGTCTTACGCACGCTCGCAGGATCGTCAGGGAAACAGCGTTTCGATTCGATAGTGTGGCGCGACCGCGACCCTGCACCCTTGCTGCGCTGCCTCTGGGGAGGTGGGGTTTTCGGCGGGCCTCTTGGCGGCGCAGGGGCCTCTGGTGGACGTTGTTTTTTTGTTTTTTGAATTTATTTGTATCTTTATTATTATTGTTATTATCATTATTATTATTATGAGTATTATTATTAGTTGTATTATTATTGGTTTACGTTCTTACAGAATCCGCCTGTAGGAGGACATGTCCGACCTAAACTCATCGACCCCCCCCCAAGAAGCGACTCCCGAAGCCGTCCCGCACTCGAGGGCACACCCGCGTGCCGAGGGCAGGGTGTCAGGAGCTGGTGCCGCGATCTCCCTCCCCGCGAGCCTTCCCCCCGCTCAAGCAGTGGCGAAGCGTCCTGGCTCGCCTATAGCCCTACGAAACAATGTTCTAAGAACCTTTTGTGGTTTCCACGAAATGTTCTTAGAACATTTCTGGCGGAGTCTGTCTTGTTTTATCACATCGGGTTTATGTTCTAAGAACACTGTTTTTGTTCTGAGAACATTTGTGGGTTCTAAGAACATTTCGTGGTAGGACTATAGGAATGCCGGGACGGTCGGTCCCTGCTCAAATTTGTTCGTCGGCGAGCGAGGGAGGGGAGCGAGATGGATTGGGGAAAACGTCAGATTCGAGTGCGCCGGATTTCGGGTTTGCCGACGCTTCTCGACGAGCGCGTCCTGGATGATGACGGCGTTGTTTGTCGTGGGATGTTTGCAGCGGGAGCTCGCGTCAAATTTCAGATTGGGTCGCGTCATGTTCATGATGGCCCCCTTCAGGCCAACCCGAGTCCCCCGAGCCTGAGTCACAATTACGTTTCCCAGAAAGGAGGAGACCTTCTCAGATGGTTGCGAGACTCCTCAGAAGCCCTCGCGCCTTCCGAGACGCGCTCTGTGTCTTCGTGGGAGGCTTTGAGCATTTCTCAGAAGACCTGGGGACTTCCGAGCCTTCTGAGAAGGCCCGCCCCTTTGCACTTCCCGCCCAGGCCCCAGGTTCGCCGCCGATTTCTGGAGACCCAGATCCCAATCTTTTTAAGCGCGTTCCTACTTCAAGAGTCGAGCGGCTTCCCCTCTTCGCTCCTCTTCAGGGGCTGGGCGGAGACCCAGCCTACTTCCAACGCCTTCCTACTTCATGTGTCTACCCACTTCGTCTGACGCACGGGTACCCACCGCCTTCTTGTCAAACGGGGTCCCCTGAGCTCTCCAACCCCGGGGGGGGCCCAGTGGCCGGTCGTTCTTCCTCCTTCTTGTGCCGCACGGTCACAGGGCGTGTCCCTAGAGGCGGAGATCGAGCAGGAGTCTAGGAGTTTGGCTCTGAGGTTTGGGTGGGGTCAAGGCGAGGGGGAGACCAGGAGGTTGATGGAGCTTCGAGGGAGGATTGTTGAAGGAAGGTCCCCTGGCAAGTCCGTAGCCATCTCGGCTCAAGCGCCGTGCAGACCCTTTTGGGTGGCCACCCTCGGCCGCAGGATGGCCGCGGGTGAAGCTGCCACCGTGCTGCTGAGAAGCGAAGGAGCGGCCGCGGCCTGCGGCTGAAATGACTCCGTGCAGTTCGAGGTCCCCGCGCCTGGCGAAAGCCTGAACTGCACGCAGGCCGCTGCGAATAATGCTCACACCGTGCTGACGAGGAATGACCGGACGGCCGCGGCCTGCGGCTGGAGTGGCTCTGGCCAGTGCGACGTCCCCGTGCTCGGCGAAGGTCTGAACTACACGCGTCGCCGCGGGTGGAGCTCCCACCGTGCTGCTGAGGAGCAAAGGGGCGGCCGCGTCTTGCGGCTGAAATGACTCTGGGGGCAGTACGAGGTCCCCGCGCCTGGCGAAGGCCTGAGCTGCACGCAGGCCGCTGCGGGTGGTGCTCGCACCGTGCTGCCGAAGGCGACGCGACGGCCGCGGCCCGCAGCCGGCGTGGCCCCGGGCGCTGCGACGTCCCCGTGCCCTGCGAAGGCCGGAACTGCACGCAGCCGCACGTGTTGTCAACGCTGCTTCAGACGGAGCCTCCGTGCAGTTCCTGGCCCTGGGCGGGCAGGAGTCCGATTCCGGCGGCTCCCGCGGATCGCTTGTCCGAGTTTTTGGACGCCCGAGATGGGCACGGAAAGAATGGGTACGATGCCCAACAGCAGTTCCTGTTCATTTTGACCAGGATGCGCTGTCCACGCCGCCGCGGCCTGTGTCCATTCGAGACAGGAGGCCGCCCGCCCAACAGCGGCCGCTGTTGGTTTGGGACAGCATTTGCTGTTGGGCATTGTACCCATTTTTGTCCGTACCCGTTTCGGGCGTCCAAAGAGTTGCGCGCCCGTCTGATGGGCGGCCGCGTCCCGCGCACGCAGGTGGCCGCGCTCGCCGCCGCCGACGCCGCACTCCCCGGGCGGGTCGCCGAGCCGGCCTCCCGCCGGCGAGATCTGCGCGGCAGCGTTCAGGCGCGCCGACGACGGCGCGCCCAGACGCAAGAGGAGGAGGAGGAGGAGGAGGAGGGGGAGGAGGAGGAGGAGGAGGAGGAGGAGGAGGAGGAGGGAGCGAGGAGGGAGGAGGAGGAGGAGGAGGAGAGGAGGAGGAGGAGAGGAGCGAGGAGGAGGAGGAGAAGAGGAAGAGGAGGAGGAGGAGGAGGAGGAGGAGGAGCAGGAGGAGGAGGAGCGAGGAGGAGGAGGAGCGAGGAGTGAGCGCTGCTGCCAGCAAGGGAGGAAGGCTCCGGTGCGAGGCCTGGAGGCAGCAGGCGGGGCCGAGGCCTCGCCCGTGCACCGGTTCGCGCAGCTCCTCCTCTGTGCGTTCGAGGCCCACGCAGGGTCAAGGCCGACACAGGGCCGCAGAAGTCGCCGTGAGGCAAACGGGTCCTGGGGGGTTGTTCTTGTGATCGTTGTTTCATTTACTGTTTTGACGACGGGCGCGGGACCTCGCACCCCCCCCCGCCCCTCCCCCCCCATCATGGAGTGGATCTTGGCCGTTTTGGGCGCTTGTTTCAGGCAGGCGCGGGCTGGAAGAGAGAGACGCGGTGAGCTGGCGGGCGGCCTTCGCCTTCGCTTCTCCTTCCATTTCCTCCTTTGGAGGGTGAAAGAGGGGGTCTGCAACAGGGGGTCTTCAATGGGGGCTGAATGGCCCATGTATGCTCAATGTATCGCTCATGTATGTGAACGGGTACGATTGGCATCCAATGTTGGCGGTCATTGAGGGCCAGTCGTTCGTGCCCGCGCGTTGCCCGCGCGGGCACACGCGCCGTCCATCCATTATCGTTCATGCGTGCGGGGGTTCTTGCACATTGCGCGTGGGGCAGCGAAGTGGAGTGCAAGTGTGTCTTGATTGTGCGATTGATGATCGTGTGTGTTCCCAAACGATGACTTCTCGACCCCCAAGACAGATTTGGAATGGGGCCCACTTTTCCCCCAAAATGTGAATTCACATTTTCCTTTTTCCCAAAATGTGAATTCACATTCTGGCCCCTTTCATAAAGAATCCTACACCAAAATTCCAAAATGTGAATTCACATTTTCCTTTTTTTCCAAAATGCGAATTCACATTTTCCTTTTTCCCAAAATGTGAATTCACATTTTGCTTTCCCCCGCAATGTGAATTCACATTTTGCCCTGGCCTTCAAGATCCCCAACACTGAGGCGTTTTGTTCCGCATGTCAGATTGGCTGGGCAGATTTCGACACTCACCTGACCGCTTTCGTGTGTTCCAGCCTTTTCTTTTTGCGCCCTCAGCGCACGTTGCCGTCGTCGCCTTTCCCGAGCCCCCCGCCCCCTTGCTTCCTTTCCTTTCAAGTATCGCGCATGGGTGCAAGCGGGGGGCTTCCATTAGTTCCCCCGCCGACCACAACAATCGAGGATGCATCGCCCATTCATGGCCCATAAAGACATCATTGCCGGGACCCTGCGGCCGACCCCCACTTTCACCCTCCAACTCCTCCTGCTTCTCCTCCTCCCTCCTCCTCTTCCTCCTCCTCCTCTTCCTCCTCTTCCTCCTCCTGCCTCCTCCTGACAGGCCAACTTTCCACCACCCCTACCATAGGTAGGACGGGGGAGAGGGGATGATGGGGAGGTTATTCACCCTCTCCCTCCTCCTCCTCCTCCTACTCCTCCTCCTCCTCCTTGGCCTCCTCCTCTTCTTCCTTCTTCCCCTACCTATGGTGGTGGTGGTGGCGGTGGAAAGTCGTCCCATCATCCTCCACCCCCCTCCAGCGCGTCGAAAGGGGTCCCAGGGAGCAGCTAGAACCACAGTCTACGTGCTCGCAGCAAAGAGATTTCACCACAGGTCTCGAGCTAAATTGTGTTTTGGCGATTTCGTGGACCGTTTTCGTTTTAAAGTCGTGTCGCAGCAAATGCAGAACGAAGACAGAACGAAGTACACCGAACTCTAAACGAACACGAAAAACACTGTTCAGCTCGAGCCCTGTTGCTCCAGAAGGTGACCCTAACCAGCGGATGTTCTGCAATGCTCGGAGGCACCCCGCGCATTGTAAAACTCGGGCGTACGTGGGGTTCAGCCGCCTCCTGGGGGGCGTGGGGAGGTGGCGCTCCAAGACTCCAGAACATTCGCAAAGAGGCGCGATGCGAGACGATCAAGAAGGCCCCAGGAGATGGGGTCCACAGCTCGACCCCGCTCGGGCATGGCCAGGACTCCGGAGAAGGGGATTCGGTCAGCGATCGGGCCCCGAGGCCCCCCAGAATTGGCCAGAGTCACTCGGCCAGGTCTGCCAGAGCTGGTGTTTTGCGGGTGACGGCAGTTCGGGTCAGTGGAATGGGGAAGGGGGGGGCGTTCCCAAGCATTCATCACCAAGCCAGGTCCCACTAAGCCCAATCTTGCTAGTGCCCGACCCATGTTGGACACATCATCACGGCGTCGGCGATCTGGGTTCTTTGCTTCTTTGTTCGACCTCCTCTCCCGGGGTTGGGTCCCGAATACCCTATGGCATGTCAAAGCGAGGCGGAGGAATTCCCACGCATGTTGGCTGATCGATGTCGTGGAACCTTGCAGCCTCACCGCCATCTGAGGGCTACGGCCCTACCGCCGCACTCCTACAGGGCCGTCCTCCAGGACGTATCCTGCATCTGGGCTCGTTTCGTCTAACCCTGGAATTGGATACGCGGGTTCAGAGATTTCCAACAATGGCCCTCCCTCACTGACGCTACCTCCGCATCCTCCTTCCCTCTCCGTCTGCATCTCCTCCGACCTCCTCGCTACTCATCCTCCCCCATCGCTCCTCCTCGCTCCTCCTCGCTCCTCCTCCTCCTCCTCCTCCTCCTCCTCCTCCTCCTCCTCCTCCTCCTCCTCCTCCTCCTCCTCCTCCCCCTTCTCTCCCTCCTCATCCCTCCATCCCCTGCCGGTTGTGCTCCTTCTCCTAGGCGGCAGGCGGTCCGGCCAAAAAGTACCGCTCCAGAGGAGTGGACGCGAAGAAGACAGGGAAGTTGGAGTTCCCAGAATTCTGCACCCTCGTGAGGTTGGCCTGCATGCTTTCGGAAGTGAGTTGAAGTGTGTTATGAGTGGGAAGTTGTAACAGCAGCTCTGCAGAGAACATGGCCAGCGAGCAGCAGTGCTACCGCAGGCCCGCGACCGGAGCCGTTTGCATGATGCGCACAGGAGGATTCACCCTCTCTGGTACCGCACATGCCTGTTGATTGCGTGTTGGTTGTACATGTTGTGCACGGGGTTGCCTCGGAATTGGCAACCTTGTAAAGAGTGTTGGGAGTTTGGCGAGTAGCAATGAGAGGTAATGCGGAGTATGTCGCACTCTTTGACGAAATGCAGAAACTGGCCAACGTGCGGAGTGGAGTGGGAGTCGCCAGCTCACACTGGGAATAATGTGTGCGCGTTTTTGCGCGTAATTATGGTTGTTCGTATGGTATGCGGTGAGGTGTGTTGTATATCTTGGGTTGTGTTTTTTTGTTCTGTGTGGCGTGTTTTTGTTTTGCCCAGCCATGTTCTGTCTACCCAGCGCGAGCGTTTCCAGCCGCACGCGGCGTGGGTTGCATCCATGCAAGTCTACCTAGCGCGAGCGTTCCAGCCGCCTACGGCAAATTCTCACCAGCCCATTCGTCCGCCAGTCAGTGGACTATACGGACACTTCAATGAGCAGATCAGATCGGGCAGGTGTTGGGCTCAACGCCTCTTTCTCAACCGCATTGCATCCGTAGCCGTTTTGGCTCCAGTGGCGCGCTGATTTATAGTTGTAAAGCCCTACGCCGGGTGAGGTTCCAGCCGTCATTTTTTCGATTGAAAGTGTTCCAGCCGCCTATGCCGACAAGAAGGGTTGGTTCCAACCTTCCATTGTTACAGGGGGGAAGTGTTCCAGCCGCCCACGGTGTGAGCTCCAGTCCTTAGTGGTTACTTGGTGCCAGTGTTCCAGCTGCCCACAGTGTGGGCTTCAGCTCAGCGGAAGCCTTCCAGCCGCCCACGGCGTCAGCTCCAGTCACGATGGTTTCTCCCAGGGCGAGCGTTCCAGCCGCACCCGGCTTGGGCTCCAGCCATGCTCTTCTACCGAGCGGGAGCGCTCGAGCCGCCCACGGCGCGGGCTCCAGCCATGAATTTTTTAACGAGTGCAAGCAGTCCAGCCGCCCACGGCGTGGGTTCGAACCATGTTTTTCTACCCAGCGCGAGCGTTTCCAGCCGCACACGGCGTGGGCTGCATACATGCACGCTCACCGAGCGCAAGCGCTCCGGACGCCCACGGCCATTTCTCACAAGCAAATTGTGTCCACTGATTGATTGTAGGGCAGATGCTCGATGACCATGACCAGGATGTCGCGGGATCTCGGTGGACGTCCATCTTGGTCATGGTCCATGACCCCCGTTGCGGATTTGAGAGGATAATCGATAAACGGGCGAAGGCCAATATTTGATGGACGATGACCAGGATCGGCATCGACGTTTCCAAGATCATCAGGAGGGGAAAAAACACACATACACAATTAATCGTCGATCGCTTAGAAAATATTGGAAAATATGGCAAGTGGGGGGGAAGACAGAAACCCAGAAAATATAGGAAAATATTGGTAATATGGTAATTTGTGTCTATTTATTTGTGTCTTTGGGCCCCTTGAGATCAGTCTTGGTCATGGTCATGTGTGTTTTTTTTTCTCTCCACTCGGGGGGTTCTTGGATCACCGCTGGGGTCGCTGCAGGAGCACGGGTGGTCCCGAGCGGATGCCAAGGTGGGTTACACATGGTCTTAAGTCGGGCCTGTCCCCCAACAGGGGGATTTTCGACGAAAAATGGAAAATAGCCGAAAAATAGTCAAGAAATGGTCCAACAATATTGTGGAAACCATTTTTTGAGTATTGTTGAACCTTTGGGGGGTATGTTTAGGGTATTTTGCATTTTTTCGCCGAAAATTCCCCTGTAGGGTGACACGCCCGACATTAGCATGGTCTAACCCAGCATGCAAGTGGATTGCGAATGCACCAAGCGGTTGAATGGGGGGGGTGCAGATCTGGACAGAATGGTCCGAGCATACTCGGAAGAGCTACATAATTAAACCCTTTCAAACCATTCAGGGCGTTCGTAACCCACTCGAGATACAGTTGGGCCAGATATAACGCACATGCGCATTCACTTATAAGCCCCTTCCCCCGAGTCAACCTTAGCGGTGATCAAAGCTCACCAAACCCCGCGGGGCAGGCGCTCGAATTCATTTATGAGAAGCTGGGTTAGGCCAGATATCACCCACCTCACCATCCGTTCATAACCCCCTACCCCTTTACACTGGAGCAAAACTGCCAAGAAACACCCTGCTTGCCTCCAGGGTGCCCTGTGTCTCTTTGGGTTCCATGTGTTTCACCACGGAAAGCGTGACATCCCCATACCAAGAATCAGTGGACAGTCTGGGGTTTCAGGGTTGGGTTTCTTCTGGGAGGCCTCGTGTGGTCGAGCTCCGCCTGCAGCATTCTGGGCGGTGGTCCCCGCTCGCTTGCCGAGCGGCCGCGCCGAGCAGCGGGCCCGCCGAGAGCACGTCGGCCTCCCCGAAGAGGGTCTGAGCAGGGTCCCGTCGGAGCGCCGCGCCGCATTGCCGATGCACCGCCGATGCGGTTCGATGAAGGGTCCGATGTTTTCCACGCCGGCGGTGCCGACGACGACGACGACGACGACGACGACGACGACGGCGTTGACGACGACGGCGACGACGGCGACGAGCGACGACGGCGACGAGCGACGGGCGACGGACGACGGGCGGAGACGACGACGGAGACGACGACGACGACAACGACGACGGCGATGAAGACGACGACGACGACGACGACGACGCCGACAGTGCCGATCCAGACATTCGAAGTCCTGGTGTTTGTTCCATACGCAACGGCCGCGTTGTCGATAGACGCATCCACCCCGAACGACTACATGCGGAACGACACCCTTTGTGTCCATGCCTGCCCGTGGCCAGACAGTCGGAACGCTGTGTGGCCCCAGATGCCCATGCGTGCGACGTCCTGTTCTTGTTCCCAACCATCCTGTGGTGTTGGGTCCCCGTTTCAAAGAAACAGCGCCCTGCGGCTCTCCTCTCTTCCTGCCACTCCTCCCTCCTCCTTTGATCCCGAATTCAATCCCAGATTCCATCCTTGACTTGACCCTCCGCTTGTCACTGTTTCGGCACACCTCTTACACGTTTCGTGGCTCCATAGGGACTTCCACCGAAGGCCCAAGGGGCAGCGCCCGCATGCGGTTCCACTCCCATTTAGGTGCGCCCCTCAAACGCTTCGTTGTCCCATGGGGAGCTCCATTGAAGGCCCCCAGTGGCAGCACCCGCATGCAGTTGCACCCATTTCGGCACACCGCTCACACTGTTATGTGGCCCCACATAGAGCTCCACGGAGGGCCCCAGTGGCAGCGCCCGCATGCAGCTCCAGCCCTATTCTGGCTCACCCCTGAGATGTTTCTCAAGAGGGAAAGAAACACACAGACACAATTAATCGGCGATTCCCCAGAAAATATTGAAAAATATGGGAAGTGGTGGGGAAGACAAAGACCCAGAAAATTTGGAAAATATGTGGAATCGTTTTGTTTGTGTGTATTTATTTGTGTGTCCCAGGGCTCCTTCACTTTCGTAGCCAATAGGGTGGGCCACCGAAGGCCCCTACGGGCAGCGCCCGCACGCGGCTCCACCTTCCTATTTGGGCGCGTCCCTCCCACGTGTCGTGGAGGAGGAGGAGGAGGAGAAGGAGGAGGAGGAGGAGGATGAGGAGGAGGAGGAGGAGGGGGAGGGGGAGGAGGAGGGGGAGGAGGAGGAGGAGGCCCCAGTGGCAGCGCCCGCATGCGTATCCACGCGCGCGATTTCGGCAAACCTCTCACACGCTTCGTGGCCCAAGAGAGGGGTGCTCCACCGAAGACCGCGGTGGCCTCCGTTACTGGCCCCCCTCCTTCATTTTATTTTCCTCGCCGCGATGCTCGAAGGCCAGAGTGGCAGCGCCGGCGCTGCGAACCCTTTTCATTCCGGCACACCCTTCACGCTCTGAGTGATTCCATAAGACGATCCACCGAAGGGGATACTCACAACGACGGTACTCAGTCGGCACACTCCTCTCGCGTTGCGTGGCCCCAGAGGGCGCTCCGCCGAAGGTCCCAGTGGCGCAGTTCGCATGCGTCCCAGCCACCAATTTCGGCACACCCCTCACATGTCTCGTGGCCTTATGAAGGGGGTTCCACCGAGGATCCTGGTGGCGCAGTTTCAATGCGGTCCCGCACCCATTTCGGCACTCCCCTCACACGCTTCGTGGCTCCGTAAATAGGGAGTTCCACCGAAGGTCCCAGTGGCGCAGTTTGCATGCTTCCCCGCCACCCATGTTGGCACACCTCTCACACGATTCGTGGCCCCGTGTGGAGATCAACCGAAGATCCCAGTGGCGCAGTTCGCATGCGTCCCCGCCACACATGTGGGCACACCTCTGGCGCGCTTCGTGGCTCCCGCAGCTCGCATGCGGTCCCGCACCCATTCTGGCACACCCCTCAAACGTTTCGTGGCCCCATGACGGGGGTTCCACCGAAGATCTGGCGCAGTTCGAATGTGGCCCCGCACAAATTTCGGCACACCCCTCACCCCCTCTCACGCTTCGTGGCCCCATAGGGAGCTCCACCGAAGGTCCCAGTGGCACAGTTCGCATGCGGTCCCGCACTCATTTCGGCACACGTCTCGCTCGTTGCGTGGCCCCATAGGGAGCTCCACCGAAGGTCCCAGTGGCGCAGTTCGCATGCGGTGCCGCACCCATGTCGGCACACTCCTCTCACACGATTCGTGGCCCCATAGGGAGCTCCACCGAATGTCCCAGTGGCGCAGTTCGCATGAGGTGCCGCACCCATGTCGGCACACCCCTCACATGTTTGGTGACCACGGAGGGATGCCCACCAGAGGTCCCAGTGGCGCAGTTCGCATGTGGTCCCGCACCCATTTCGGCACACCCCTCGCACGCTTCGCGACCCCATTGGGAGCTCAACAGAGGATCCCAGTGGCGCATTTCGCATGCGCGCCCCCGCCATCCAATTCGTCACACACCGCAAACGTTTCGTCATGGCTCCACAGGGAGCTGCACCGAAGGTTCCAGGCGCAGTTCGCATGTGGTCCCGCACCCATCTCACACCCCTCACACGCTTCGTGGCCACGCAGGGAGCTCCACCGAAGGTCCAAGTGGCGCAGTTCACACGCGTCCCTGCCATCCATTTCGGCACACCCCTCGCACGTATCGTCGTGGCTCCATAGGGAGCTTTCGAAGCTCCCAGTAGCGCAGTTCGCGTGCGCCCCCGCCACCATGCGTATCCCCACCCAGTACTGCGTTTCGTGGCCCCAGGGGGAGCTTCACCGAAGGCCCCAGTGGCCGCGGCCGCATGCGCCCTCCCCCCCCCCCAGCCCACTTCGGAACACCACTCAGCCGTTTCGTGGCCCCAGAAGGAGCTCCACCGAAGGCTCCAGAGGCAGTGCTCGCATGCGGTCCCCGCACCAATTCGGCACACGCCTCACACGTTGTGTGGCGCCACTGGGAGCTCCACCGAAGACGATGCTCATCTGCGTCACTCGCAACTGCGTATGATTGGGTCCTTCGCCAAGCTACTTCAATACGCAGTCCCCGTGTGTCCCGACTCGGTTCCCGGGGCGCACTCCTCATCATGAGCCGTTTTCTGACGGTCTTGGCGCCCCCGAGAGCCGAATATAGGAGTACATTGCCCGTCCCGATTTGTTTTACAGTCGGCCCAGATCAGTAGGTCGACCCTGCCAAATCAAGGGTACCCTTGTGTCCTGTGTCTCGCGGCCCATGCTTCCTACAATCCTGTGGCAGTGCCCTCGGAAGGGTCTTGTGTCCTCTCGCGTGTCCTGTCCAATCGAGTCCGACTGTACATCGCGATCACGTCCGGAGATGCATCGCGATCCTGTCCCTGCATCCCTGGGCTCCGCGTCACCTCGCGGGGCAGGCGCATGAACCCCAAGGAGGCCCCCGACGCCCCCGCCGAGGAGCCGCGCCGACCGCCTCGCCCCTCGGGCTGGCCCCCTCGTCGGGCGGGCCCCTTTTGCAGCCCTCTCGGGCAGCCTCCCCTTCACTCCCGGGCTGCGCCTTCCCTCGCCCCCCTTCGCTTCGGGACAAAAAACACGGCGGGGGGGGTTGCTTTGATGTGCTTGGCCAGACGGGCCACGGGGCCGTCGAAGCACGACTCGGGATGAGCAATCGGTCTCAGGGCATGGGCCGATACAGTCGGGGCCCTGAAGAAGGAACCCTTTTCGTTGGGGAGGGGCTCCGCGTTCCTTACGTGTTTCGCAGCTTGCCTCAGGTTTTCCTCATGTTTTCGATCGGAAATCGAAGATTAACTTATGGAAAAAAGGGGGCCTCGTTCCTTATTTAGGGTTCCTTAGGTCAACGCCCCGACTGTACCCCTGGGGGCCGACGGCATGCGCAAACCATGACGTTCGGGGGCCTGGGCCCTCACTAGGCACATGGGGAAGCGACGCTGAATACCACCAGGGACCACCAGCGGGAGGAGCCAGGGAGGGCCCCCCCCCCCTGGTGGTGTGCCCCCCCCCCTTTCGCTCGAGACATGCCCGATCCCCAGCTCGGGGAGGCGTCGTGGACCGCCTCGCTGGAGGTGGCCCCCTGGCGGTGCTGGTGTCGCCGCGATCCTTCCCCACTCCCTCCTTCCCCCACTCTCTCCTCCTTCCCTCTCTCCCTGCCTCCCTCCTGGTCCCCACCCCCCCGACCCCAAAGAGCGACCGCACGCTCCAAACGAGGGCCGCTCCCAGGGTTCTGTCGGGCGTGTCCCCCTACAGGGGGATGTTCGACGAAAATTTGAAAAAAATACCTCAAAAATACACCAAGAAGGTCAACAAAATACTTAAAACATAGTCCCCATATTATTTCTAGACCATGTTTTGATTATTTTGTGGGTATTTTTTGTTTTTCGTCGAAAATCCCCCTGTAGGGGGACAGGCCCGACTTACTCCCAGGGGGGCAGGGGGTGCGCAAGCAGGGGCCTGCGGACTACTCCGTTGTGCCCGGGAGCGCGGCCGGCTCCGCTTGCGCCCGGCTCGCGGGTATGGCCAGGACACCCGGTGAGGGGACCCGGTTAGTGGTAGGGCCCCGGAGCCTTCGACTTGGCCAGAATCACTAAACCAGGCTTGCCATAGCCGGTGTTTTCTCGGGTGACGGCAGTTCCGGTGAGTGGACATGGGGCGGGGGGGCGCCCCCGGTGCAGATCACTGAACCAGGCTCCACGAAACCCAGTTCTACCAACGCCCGAGGTTCGCGGGTTGGCAAAGGTGCCCGCGGCCCAAAGTGCCCCCAGTTTTTCGCTGCACCCTTGGGCATCCCAGGGGAACCTTGGGTTAAGTCGGGCGTGTCCCCCTACAGGGGGATTTTCGACGATAAATAAAGAATACCCTACAAATAACCCGAAATGGTCAAAAGATACTCGAAAAATAGTCCCCAGACTATTCTTTGACTATTCTGGAGTATGTTTTGAATATGTTGTATTTGTCGTCGAAAATCCCTCTGTAGGGGGACATGCTCGACTTAAACCTTGGGCCAGGTGCAGTGTAGCCGCTGGTGGCCGCGCTCTTTTTGCGTTCTGAGAGGTTGTTTCAAGCCTGCCCCGACAGCACGGAGAACTTCTCACAAGGACGCGAGGGCCGTTAAGAGAAGCCCCGCCGCCTTCTGCGAGGGCTCTCTCCTTCTCGCTTCCCCCTCTCGCTCGCCGCTGGTCCTGGCCCCCCTCTCCCCGCCGCCCCCCGGCCCCTATAGGCTGCCCAGATGGGGTCGGAGCAGATGGGGTCGGAGGGTCGCGACGCATCGCGGATGCATCGGCGATGCGGCTCGATGTGGAGCCCGATGTTCTCTACACCGACGTCGCCGATGCATCGCCGACGTCGCCGATGCATCGCCGATGCATCGGCGATGCATCGCCGACGCATCGCGGGTGCGGCGCGATCCTCCGACCCCATCTGCTCGGACCCCATCTGGGAGGCCTGCAGCTCCCTCCCCACCCCCACCCGGCCCCGCTCCTCGCTCCCCCCGCTCCTCGCTCCCCCCGCTCTTCGCTCCCCCCGCCCTCCGCACCCCCCTCCCCCCCCCACCCCCCTTCCTGCGCGCCCACCGCCGCGGCGGCGCGCCCGCCGCAGAGCCCGCATGGGCTCCGCCGCCCAGCGGGTGCTCCTCCCGCCGCTGCCGCCTCCCCGCGTCGCGCCGCGAGGAGGGCGAGGATCCCCTGAAGGATGCCTGGGGCAAGGCCCGGGCGGCGGGCCGCCCGCGCCAGATGTGCCGCACCAGTTGTTGCGTGTTGTTGCGCAGTCTCTCTCTCTCTCTCTCTCTCTCTATGTCCCCCCTTGTTTTTCCCCAACCATCCTGTGGTGCAGGGTCCTCGTTTTGCAGAGACGGTCCCCGCGTTCCTCCTTCCTGCTCCCCCCCCCTCCTCCCTCCTCCCGTCACCCCCCTCAGTTGGGCACACCCCTCACACGTTTCGTGGCCCCACAGGGAGCTCCACCGAAGGCCCCAGTGCCACCGCCCGCATGCGCCACGCACGCCCATTTCGGCACACCCCTCACACGCTTCGTGGCCCCACAGGGAGCTTCACCGAAGGCCCCAGTGCCACCGCCTGCATGCGTCACGCACGCCCATTTCGGCACACCCCTCACACGCTTCGCGGCCCCACAGGGAGCTGCACCGACGGCCCCAATGGCTGCGTTCGCATGCGCCCACTGCACCTATTTCGGCACAAATCTCTCACGCGTTGCGTGATCCCATTGGGAATTCCACCGACGGCCCCAATGGCTGCGTTCGCATGCGCCCACTGCACCTATTTCGGCACAAATCTCTCACGCGCTGCGTGGCCCCATTGGGAATTCCACCGACGGCCCCAATGGCTGCGTTCGCATGCGTCCACTGCACCTATTTCGGCACAAATCTCTCACGCGCTGCGTGGCCCCATTGGGAATTCCACCGACGGCCCCAATGGCTGCGTTCGCATGCGCCCACTGCACCTATTCTGGCACAAATCTCTCACGCGCTGCGTGGCCCCATTGGGAATTCCACCGACGGCCCCAATGGCTGCGTTCGCATGCGCCCACTGCACCTATTTCGGCACAAGTCTCTCACGCGCTGCGTGGCCCCATCTGGAATTCCACCGACGGCCCCAGTGGCTGTTTTTGCATGCGCCCACAGGGCAAATCGTGCACACTCCTCATCGGTTTTTTGGCCCTATATGGAGCTCCTCCGAATGCGATGTATACAACGACGGTGCTCACAACTGCATATGGTTGGGTCCTTCATCAGGCTAAGTGTTGTTCTCTCTCTCTCTCTCTCTCTCCTTCTTTCTCTGTATCTCTCTTTCTCTCTCTCTCTCTCTGTCTCTTTCTCTTTCTCGCTATTTTCCTTGTGTGTTATCTCTCTCTCTCTCTCGTTTCTCTCTCTCTCTCTCGCGCTCTCCCTCTCTCTCTCCTCTCTCCTCTATCTATCTGTCTATATATAAATAGAGATATGTAGGTATGTAGGCGTGTACATGTTCAGATTAAGTGTTCTCTCTCGCTTGCTCGCTCGCTCTCTCTCTCTCTCTCTCTCTTTCTCGCTCTCTCTCTCTCTCTCGCTCCTTCTCTCTCTCCCTCTCTCTCTCTCCCTCTGTCTTTCTTATTTGTTCATGTTATATGTCTCCTTCTCCCTGTATTATCATTATCATCCCAGCTGCTACTACTACTACTACTACTACTGCTACTACTACTACACTACCACTGCTACTACTACTACTGCTTCTACGACTACTACTTCTACTACTACTAGTACTTCTATTACTACGACGACTACTACTACTACTACTACTACTACTACTATTACTAATACTGCAACCACTGCTACTACTACCAGTACAACTACTATTTCTACTACTACTACCACTACTACTACTACTACTACTACTACGACTACTACTACTACTACTATTACTACTACAACTACTACTTCCTACAAATACTACTACGAATGCTACTGCTATTGCTACTACTACTACTACTACTACTACTACTACTACTACCATTATTACTGTGCTGGTAGTACCACTACTACTACTACTACTACTACTACTACTACTACTACTACTACTACTACTAGTACTATTCCTACGACCATTCCTACTACTACTACTACTACTACGGGTACTAGTAGTAGTAGCACTACTACTAATAGTATTAGTATCCACATTATCGCTACTACTACTACAACTACGACTACTACCGCGATTCCGAATTCGGTGTTGATTACTACTGCTACGACCGCTACTACGACGATTATTACTACTACTACTAATACTGCGACTACTAGCGCTACTACTGCTATTTCTTCTACTACTGCTACTACTACTACTACTGCTGCTACTTCTTCGGCTACTACTACTACTCCGACTACTACTACTTCTATTGCAATTCTCATGATCTCTTACTACTACCACTACTACTACTACTACTACTACTACTACTACTACGACTACTATTACTACTACTAATACTAATACTAATACTAATACGACGACGACGACGACGACTACTACTACTACTACTACTACTACGATCCTTACTACTACTACTACTACTACTATTAGTACGACTACAGCTTCGACTACGACTGCTACTACGACAACTACTACGAACATCATTACATCTACTGCTACGTTCTAGATACTCCTCTTCCTACTACTACTACTACTACTACAAGTACTCCTCGTATGATCTCGGTCGCATCGACTACGGCTACTACTATCACTATTACTATTACTACCCCCGCTGCGACTACTACCTCTACTACTTCTTCTTCTACTACTACTACTACTACTACTACAGCTACTACTACTACTACTACTACTCCTACTACTACTACGACTACTACTGCCACCATGTACGACAGCCACCATTACCATCACTGTTACTACGAGTATCACTAGCACTACGACTGCTGCCCCCGTGATTCCGACTACGCGTAAGACATGTTTGTATTACGACGTCGGTTGCAATTCGTAATGCGACTACGACTACGATTGCTACCACTATCATGTCTACTACTGCCACCACCACTACGACTGCTATTATTACTGCGACTACGACCACTACTAGTACTACTACTACTACTACTACTACTATCAGTACTAGTACAACTACTACTACTACGACCACTACTACTACTACTACTACAACTACGACTACC